AAGGTGCCAGTACTCTAAAATCAGCAACTTTTTCAAGTCAATTTTATATATACAGCCCACAAACAAGAATTTGGCTACTATAATGCTGGTGGGTTTGTCTCTTTACTACTGTATATTTTAGAAAGGTTCACTGTACTTAACATTTTTTATGATAGGCAGCGGATATGGCTAAAGCTCAGTAAGGTCAATATTAACTGAAAATATAGCAATCAAAGTCTAGATCTTCTGCTGAAGACACATGAAGCAGAGACCTTTCAGGTGAGAGCCCCTCTGGTGGTGTTCAACATTAATGACAAGGAAACAAAGCTCTGGTCAGAAGCATTTTTTATAAAAAGCTTTAACAAAATTAAGTATTTCTGTACATTTTGAATGCAATCTAACTTTCCAACTCAGAAAACGAAAAACGAAAAAGTGCCAAAAGTCTTCTCACATGGCTGAGCTGCTTTGCAATATACTTCACCACTGAAGAATACAAATATGTATAAAGTAAACTATGATGCAATCTAACTTTCCAACTCAGAAAAATGATAAAGAGCATGAACAAAGAACATGTAAAAACAAATGCAAAATTTGCACAATCTAAAATGAGAAACTGTAACTGCAAGTAACAAAGTCTGAGCCATGGTAAAGAGTTACATTGAACACCAAGCTGATCAGATAACTCCCTGGTTGGTCTGAAGTCCTTCTATCTCCAGGATCTGTACAAATCGGCACATTATGCCAAAAGTCTTCTCACTGGGTGAGCTGCTTTGCAATATACTTCACATTGTTAGAAAAGGCTCCAGAAGGCCTTGGGGACATCAGTATCAGGGGCTGAAGCTGGACAGGCTCTTTCATCAGCACTTCTCCTTCCCTTTGCCAGCCAGGACCTCACATACTGTTCCGGATTGAACTGTCCTAGTGATGGTCCATTACATTTAATGAAAACCAGGCTGGACAGTCAGCTGACAGAGAGAGCATTCCTTTTTGCAGTAAGGATATCGTTCATGCAGCTGAATGCCCGCTCACACTCACTAGTGGAGACAGCGATGGTTCGGACTGCTTTCAGTAGAGGCTCCATGGCAGCAGGTGTACGGGATGCCCTGGTTTCCTTGTATTCGCGAAAGCCCTGAACAGTCTCTCTTCTGTCCACTTTCAGCACTTCGCACAAACGTAGCACCTCTACGTCCCCATACTGTACGTCTAACTCCTCTTCAGGCCAACTTCCAGGATGGATAACTTTCATGTCCTGGATTAGCTGATTGTCCCGGGCCTCCCGGCCATGTAATGGGATTTCTCTTGTGCTGACATGAGAGGAGGTTGTGGAAGTCATTCTGTGTCTCAGATTATCTACCATACTGCGGAAAAACTGACCTGCATGAATCTGTACAAGCCTGCCATTCTCACGCAGGGCAACACCCTTGAAGGACTTCTCAGCTAGAGCTGTATGAACTGTAGTCATGTGTGGGCCAGGCATGGTGACCATGGATTCAAAAACTCGTATTTCTCGAGTTAAGAGGTTAAGAGTTACTGCTGTAGGCAGTGTCATCTCTCTTTTTTGGAGTTGCCGAGAGAGGTCGCTGAGCTCTGTGAGCGCATCGTACATCAGTCCCAGATTGCTGACAAACGTTGCAGATGTGAGCACATCATCCAGGCCCTTGTACTTTGCTCTGTCTCTGGAATCCCTGCTCGTGTCGTTTGCAGCATTTGTGAAGTGATCATGAAGCACTCGGTAGTTTTCCCAGACTGCTCTGACGCTCCTTTCACTTGAAGCCACCCAGCGGATGGACAAAACACGCCCTATCACCAGGAGACGCTGTCCGACTGCTTGCGCACACTGCGCTAACTGCCTCTGATTTTTGGGGGAGGCATGGAACAAGGAATAGAGTTTGTCAAAAAAGATCTGGAAATGATTGAGCCCTGAGACCTCCTTGACCACATCCCCAACTGCCAGCTCTAGACGATGATTGGAGCAGTGCCACACAAACAGGCTTCGGAATTTACTACACAACTGGGTAGCAACGCCTGTTCTCTTCCCTAGCATGACTGAAGCCCCATCACATGCAAAAGAAACAAAACACTGACCTAAAAAGTCCTCGTTAAAATCTCTTCCAAGACACTCCATTAACGCCTTTGTGATGTCATCAGCCGTTGTTCCATCCAACTCGATCAGCTCCCAAAAAAACGTTTCGGGCTCAGCATCAGCTAATGCTGAGCGTAGACACACAACAAGCACCGTTTTACCACTAATAGTGGTAGATTCATCGACCAAAACACAGAGTTTTCTTTGCTTTTCTGTAATGTCTTTTGCCATTTTTTTCTTTAGCTCATGAGCTATGTGGTCGATGATTTCGCCACAGGTTTTATTGGAGTGCAAAACCCTGCCCACGTTCAGCCCGTATCAGTTTCTGTACATTCAAATCAATTGGCATGTCTGTGAATGGCCGGCTATGTTTGCCAATGTTATATGCCGTTCGAAAAACTCTGATAGTGGTGTCTAATTCAGATTTATGCATAGACTGCACTTGATGTTGAATAGTTTCACGTGAAGCAGATGTAAGGATGTCAGCAGCTTTTACATGGGCTTGTGATTCTTTATGTTCTTTGATTTTTTTTTCTCAGGCTAGCTTGTTGTTTGCCCTTGTCAACACCGAAATGAGACACTGCACACTCACCCCATTCAGTTGACAGTTTCAGTCCTTGTCCAGTGTGTATTCCCAAAGATTTGACATCTCTGCATATCCGACATCCTAGCTTCTTATCTTTAAGAAGGAGCCATGCATTGGTCTTGCAAAAATATTGCACCTGGTCCGTTGTCCAGCAGTCAGGTGCATCGCTTTGCCCGGTGTTGGTGGTGGCAGTTGCGCCAGCAGCAGCTAACGTTAGAGGCTCTGGAGGAGGCGGCGGAGCTAGTGCTAATGCTAATGCACTAGAACTTGGAGCAGGAGGATCAACCAAAGAAAGCTCCCCATCAGACACAATTTCCAACACAGGCACAGCATTCTCTGTATTTGAAGTTTCTTCCGGCGACAACCGCTGTCTTTTTGCACTTTTATTAATCCACGCTAACATTTTAGAAATGCTAATTTGTGACGTGACTTGCTTTCCTTCTCTCGGGGGCGTGCCTGCTCTGTTCTATCACTCTACATAGCCACCCACTGGGTGGGAGTTGCACTGCATAAACACAACACACGTGCATCTAGCTATGTAAATTGTAAAGCATTAAAACATGGTTTTACTAACAGTTTTCAGTATGTTGTTACTTCGGCATTATTATTATTATTATTTTGAAACGTGTATTACTATTAAATCACGGTCAAATAGGTTAATTTTGACATAGTCGTTTCCACCACAGTATTTACATGGAGAAGATAAGCCCCGCCCCCTCTCCAGCACGTTCTGTTTGAATGACAGGAGTAAACAGCTGACAGCCGCTGTGAAACTCCAGCGGTTAGAGCGATGAGAATGTCCGTTCGGCACCTCATGACGCATCTACTGAGTACCGGGCGGCTGTATATATATATATATGGATGTATAATAAGAACGGCGGGAGAGTGTTGAGTACCGCCAGCATGCCGGTACTGAGCAAGAAGTGCCGGTACTCCATGGGTCAGAACCAGAAGTGCCGGTACTGCGTACCGGTGAGTACCGGCCCAATTCCAGCACTGCCGGTACCGGAGATCGTCGTTGTGGTTAGCATCTGGTGCTAGCTAGCTACGCTAACGGATATAAGGAGCTTTTTCAACAACAAGGTGGAGGGAGAACTCTCTCCTGTCAGACTGAGAGTCTCAGATAATCTCAGCTCAGGTGAGCTAAAGGACTCTCTCAAGGGGTTTAAAAGGGGAGTGATTTGTAAAATATCCATAAAGAAAAAGTAAATCTGCTTACAGTTCTGTTTCATATGGGTGTTGAGAGATGTATCCATAGATCTCTTAATGTTGCTCTCAAAGTGCACCAGATTGATGCTTTTGACTTCAATATAAAAATAAAATCTTCCCAGGGAAGCATGCCCCCGGACTCCCCTACAGTATGTTAGGTCCACCCCCCACTTGTAAAAACAGCACTTCGCCCCTGCTTACACCTACAGTATATGCCGTGAGCTGATTATCGAGCCTTCATTGTAACAGTCGCGGGTGTACTGTGTATGTGTATGTGTGTGTGGGGAGTGTTGCAGTAGAACATTTCACTGAAGCGCCCGGTACCTTAATGGGAAACCCTACATGTTTGAGCAACCTCTATGAAACGTCAAGCTACCCCACAGCACCCCCAAAAGAAAATCTGTGGCGCCGCCACTGTTTCTTATGCGCAATTACTTCATACCGTCTTTGTCGTCCTGCATTTATTGTGCCCCCCTCTGAAAATAACTGGCCCCAGCCTGGCCCCCCCAGTCAAATTGGTCTAGAACCGCCACTGTGCAGGGTAGCTTGAGAATTTACTCCAGATGGAACTAAAGTCTTAATTTAGTGTTGATTATATTTCACATTATTAATCAAAATCTGCAAAGGCACTAAAGATATTAAATACATGTAGTGAAGTAAAAGCACAAGATTAACCTCTGAATTGTAGTTGAGTAGAAGTACAAAGTGGCACACATTTGAAATACTCAAGTAAAGCACAAATCCCTCAAAATTGTACTACTAAACAGTACTTAAGTAAATGTACTTACCTACAGTACTGTTAAGAAGCCTTACCAAGCCTTTCTAGATCCGACTATTTAACATACAATCACAAAGCCGTGGAAAAACACACTTGCAAATTATTTATTGCCTCCTTTTCAGCTTTAGGACGACACACATGTTTTGTTGATTTAACTCTAATAAAAGAAAAACGGTGTATATTTTTGGTCAACTAAATAATATAAAATGCTACCATTGTAGTAAAATACAAAACACGTAAGCCGGTCGTAAATTATATTTACACACTGACTTTCATAAAGGAGAAAGTGTTATTTAGCTCCTGGCAGTGATTGAGGACAGTGGCTGTTGTTGCTTAGTAACGGAATGCTGACCCGCCCACCGGACTGTTTAGCTCGTGCCAGTCTTTTTTGCAGACATGCGTTCATATTTAAAACTTCTTAAAAACGAAGTCAAAAGCTAATTTAGGTGAAGGTGTCTTGAGTTGTTTTCCTTTTTGTTGAAGGAAGTAACAAAGGCCCCGCATGTCGTTGTCGTAGAGCAGTCATGTCAGACGACGAAAGTGTGCCTGGTTTTCTTGAAGACGACAGAGTAAAGTTTGTCGAGGCTAAAGTGTGTAGCCTGCTGCAGCTGCACCGCCAAACATGGGACAAGAGTGCGGTCAACGAAGAGTTCCAAACCGTGCTGAAAGACTTCTTCGAAAAGAAGTCTGTAATGTATTTCTCTTCTTCCAAAAAAGGAGGTCTGGTTGCTTCTAATGGGGTAAGGTTGTTACAGAATATCCAATAAAGCTAAGCTAGTGTCGTAGATAACGAAGACTGTTTACAATTGACTTGCAAAGTTGCAAGCTAGCTAAGCTTAGGACAGACCGTGGAAAATCCATTGATTGACCGATTTGATTTACCTGCTTGAAAGTGTCAATTTGTAGTACAATCACGTGATCATTTTTCGAATGCAGGTCCCAGCTGGTGCTCAAAACAGGCACATCTATATTCTCAAGAAGAGAGTGGCCCTCATCACCTCTGATAACTGCAGGGAACTGCTGCTCTTTGGCCTCCAGTCTCCATCACCACTGCTGCAGCTGTCAAGCACAGTGGAGCAGGTGATTGTTAAACCCTCCATCATACACCCATCTCATAAAAAAGCATTCTGTTGTATCTGCTCTCAGTTTTTGTTATGCATATTTCTAGCTTGCCTTTATGAGAGCTGGGTGAGAGTATTCATTATGTGTCTTTTCTCAAGGTATGTGTTCCACTGTTGTCAAACAACAAAAACCATCACACGTGGCCAACTTTGTTGTCTGAGGACATCATTCGACATGTTGAGAATATGTGCAGTAAGACATCAGTGGTCCAGGGACAGGTTTTAGGGAAAAGTGTCCTCCCTATCCCAGCTGCGACAGATTGGGTGGAAAATGCATTCAGCAACTTCAAAATGTAAGAAAATACATCCATTTTGATTTTGTATCTGGATTACAATTACTGTTATTATTAACAAACACTCAACATGTGTTTTCACACACAGGTATAATAACTATGACAGGGCACTGGCTCATGCCATAGAGAGCCAGGTCATCAACTGGAGCAATATTATCCAGAAGATTTTAAAGGAAGATTCATCAGACCTCCTCATAACAGGCAGCAACCCAGGGCCCGATGCAGAGCTGAAGTTTTGGGCTTCAAGAAAGGCCAATATACAGAATGTTTGTGATCAGGTATGCTCCCTCCCCTTTACTAAAAACAATGATTTACTTGATTTTCATCTCCTGACATTCCATGATGTGTTTAACATGTTTGGTACTTTCCATTGTAGCTTCAGAGTCCAGTTGTTCAGAAGATGGCAGAGATATTAGAGATGATGGATAGCAGTTATTATCCCGCAATCAAGACTCTAATTGGAAGTGTAGTTGACGGTAAGATTAGTTCTCTTTTTAAAGCCAACTACATGTTGTAGTTTGCACCTTGTCAAATATCTGATTCACAGCATAATGCGATCACTCAAAACCTATTATCTCTGATAAGGTGGTTTTATTTTAAAACCTTGTTTTTCTCAATCCAAAGCACTTCAAGAAGCGAAGGACATTGACCTTTATCTACAGCCGCTACACGCACAACTGATTCCACTGGAAAAGGAAGGATTTCCTAACTTGGAAAAATTCACCCCTGTACTTTTCCACACATTGTTCCTAATCTGGACCAACTGCCAATCTTATCAAAGACCGGCACGCATTGTGGTGCTGCTGCAGGAGCTGTGCAATCTGTTCATTGAGCAGGTAGGAATCCTCATTTGAAACACCCCTAGTTATGAATGACACCAATTATCACATACATGTGAAATTGTTGTTAATATGATTGGACACAGAGCATGAAAACCTGTCAATTATGCTGTGATGTTGTTAGTTTAGCTTTATCTTGGCTTACTGTACGATCAAATTCACAGAATTATATAAATCTTTCCTCCTCAGGCTTCTACATACCTCTCTGCAGATCTGCTTCTCAGAGAGGATCCAGAGGAAAGTCTATCTATGGTAAAGAGAGTGATAAAAGTCTTTAGATGTTTTAAAGACAGTTACCAAACCCAGAGGGAGAGGTTGGCCCACTATGTGAAACATGCACCCTGGGATTTCCCATCCGCCATGATTCTTGCACGTTTCAACCAGTTCTTTAATCGTATGCTACAGCTGGAGGTGAGATCATATTTGTTTTGCCACTTTGAGGTTTTATTATTTTGTGGTTTTGTTTCCTATTACAAAATGTTATCTTTGCAGGACTTGTTTGAAATCATGCTGGACTTTCAGAGGATGGAAAAACTAGAGTTTGGTGGACTTAATGGCAAAATCTACAGTGAGAATGCTGCTCAGATGTACAAAGAATTCAGTAACCACTGCCAAGTGCTGAAGCACAGTGAAAACAGCCCTTATGACTTAAGCTCTCAGGTGAAATTGCTTATTGAGATGTCCATGAACAGCCATTTTATGTATATATAATGCATGGTTTTACATTTGTGTCAATCTCCTAATACTGTTCAACTTTGATCCACTCAAGGATTTTGAAAACGAGCATAAGGATTTGAAACTGATGATTGTGGACTTTGAATGCCGCCTTGCCAGCCTTATTTGCTTGGCCTTTAAGGATTGCTCAGGACTGGAGTCAGGATTTAAAGTAAGCTAAACTAGATTAAAGTATGATAATGATACAATATTGATAAAGTGAATATTGAGGAACGGAGCTTTCAAGCGGGAAACCAATCTCTTTGTTTTTCATCCTTTAGCTGCTAACTATTGTTGGACCCTTCCTGGAGAGAAGACAAATCCGACAGATATTCAGTCCCAACTACCTTATTCTGCAGCAGCTTTTCAGAGAAGAGCTGGAGAGATGTAAATGCCATTTTAAATCCAAGCTCAATAAGGTACTGAAAAAAAAAATCAATATTAGCAATATGTATTCAAGGCACAACCGGTATTGTACATGCAACAACTTTGTTCCATTTGGTCTTTGTTTACAGATGGAGAGTGGTCTGGGTAAGAACATGGCACACACATCTGGAGCACTGAAGTGGGCGAAAATGCTCAGAACACGCATTCAGACATCATGGGAAAAAATCAGATTACTGTTTGACATGTAAGTAAACACACTATTTCAGTGAATCAATGAATTAGATACAAACAGTCAGAAAGAGATACTAAGACAGAGATACTACTGTAACAAACAGGAATAGACAATCGTGCTGGGCCTAAAAATTGCGATTGTCTCACAATTATGCAATATTTCCAGGCCTGCAAGAGGTGGAGAATTGGCAAAGGAGTACCACATGTACATGGAGATGTTGAGCCTTCTGGACAAATATGAGGAGGACATTTACTCTGACTGGCGTAACGGTTTGGAAGAGGCATGCCTGATGAACCTCAATCAACACCTTATCTCCAGAAATGCCTCATCTGACCTGATCTCACTCAACTTCAATCCTAAGGTAATTGATGTTATGTCCCTGCAAAGTAGAGTGCCCATTGTGCAGCCGCCCCCCAATGCTAAATCATTATCTAAATGACCGTAAAACTGAAGATGTACTCCTGGTAAGTGAAAACACATATCCATCCTGACATCCATGTTTTATTTTACAGTTATTTAATTTCTGTTGTTTTATTCTCCAAGGGTTTCTATTAGTTGAGACAAAACATTTGACCTCCACCCTGCTGTGATGATGTCTATACATTAGTTTATTTTCTCTCCTTAGCTGACTGAAGTCTTGAAAGATGTGAAGTATATTCAGACTCTCTGTGAGATCACGATCCCCGCAGCTGCAATGGCAGTTTTTGAGAAGCGTGACATGTTCACAAAGGTAAGGAAAAAATATGTGCTCACATACACTTATGCACACCTGTTTGAGTTAAACAATAAGCACTATGTATCTTGTTTATCTTGTACATTGTCTGCACATCAGAATATATTGTTTCTCCACCCTTCCAGTATGTGAGCAGTCTGCAGCTGTTGGTACAATGGTACAATAAGCTAAAGCAGACGGTGCTGGAGGTGGAACTTCCTCTCGTCAGAGCGGAGCTAGAGTCCATAGACGTGCAGTTGACCAGGGCAGAGAGTGAGCTGACATGGAAGGATCCGGACTGCTGGAGCTTCATCAGCACCACCAAAGACCTGGCCCACAACCTGGTGGGTCGAGTCAGTAGAGCCAAGGAAAACTGCGAAGCCATCCAGTCCATGATGAAGGGATGGAGCAAACAGGCCATGTTTTGCAGAAAGGATAACAAGAAAGGCTCGCTCATACAGCTGGAGGACAGGGGAGACCGTGTCAACAGGAAGTACAGCTCCATGAAGAAAGATGGAGACTCTATCCACAAGCTGGTACAGGTGTGTTTGCATGAACTAAAGTATTCACTCTTGTACACTATAGATGTTATGTGAATACTTGTGTTGCACTGTAGGTAATCACCAAACAACGTGAAGTTATTGATGTAATTCCAGAACATTTTAACATGTCTTAGAGATATGTATCTTCATCAGAAGGCCTGTCACGATAATTAATGTTGTTGGACAATAAAAAATAAAATAAGTTTTTTTATATATATATATATATATATATATATATATATACGCGCGGAGTGTCCTGACCTGGCTGTGTCATGGGCTGTGTGTGAGCCCTGCCCCTCACGGCGCGCCTGGGCGGCAGCCACAGCGCGCCTGGCTAAAATGCTGGTCACACCCTTATGTAAACAAACAGGCATGTAAACGGCAATTTATCGAGGTCAGAAAAGTTATCGGGATCAAATCAAGTTTTATTTATATAGCACTTTTATAAACGATTTTTGGTCGAGCCAAAGTGCTGTACATATAATAAAAATAGCCTACAGTAGAGACACTTTACAGCAAATACAACAGCACAGATTGTTCAGAATATCAGTATGAGAAAAACGACACCCTCTATCCTTTTTATTTATCGTACGATAAGTCAATTAATTGCTTATCGCGACAGGCCTATTCATCAGCTCAAATCACAATAGCATTACAGTTCACTGGCATTTTAAAACCTTGCTTTTTTACATTTCATTTGGGAATTTGTGCTTGTTATGGGCTTGGATTTAGTTTTCTTATGATAAAACAAAACGGATACGGTAAATAACATATATCTAACATAACCGTTATCTCTACTTTACAATTAATAGTACTTACTGTAGTTCATTGATACCCTTTCTAGTTTAATCAGTTAAGTTTGACATATTAGACTTAACATATAATTGTATTTTATATATTTTTAAATGTCCCAACATGCCAAGCTGTATTTATTAGGAAATGTAATAAAACCACTCAAGCTGTCAATTTGATCTATTCCTAAAAATCTAAACGGATTACATTACATGTCACTTGTTAGACGCTTTTATCCAAAGCGACTTACATACTCAATACTGTGGGCAATCCCCACGGATACAGTTCAGAGTCAAATAATTCAATTTTCTGTGCTTTCCATTTCAAATATCCTACATTTTCATCAGGATAATAAGGTCCATTTCCACGCTGACCCTGAGTCAGAAGCATGGCAGTCCTACCTGGAGCATGTGGATGAGATGGTGGTGGAGGGGCTCTTCAGCTTCATCAGCCACTCTCTGCAGTTCTTTGCGAACAACATGGAATCGTGGCCGAGCCCGACACCTCTGTTTGAGTCTCAGTTGATGCTCAGTAGCTCAGGAATGGTTTTCCTCCCCTCATTGGAGCAAGATGCAGGGGACGGCCTGTATGAGCTGATAGAAGGACTGGTTGGAGACATATTCAAGACTTCAGTGAATATCAACAGAATAGCTGCTCATCATAGCACGGAGAGCTACCAGGTAATCTGCGGTAGACTGGGATTTTAAAATCTACCACTGCCTCTTAACTCATTATAGTGTCTTCTTCTTCAAACAGTACATTACCCTTATGTTATGTGTCATGTAATATAACTCTTACAGGATCTAATGGATGACATGCTGGATTTGTTGGACCTGAGGCAAGAAATAATGGAGCGAGTGGAAAACGTCCTCAAGGAAGCAATAAATGACCAGAGAAAGTTTGACTGCTACACCCATCTGTGGCAAGATGACAGGGCTGAGTTCCTCGGCCAGTTTCTGCTGTATGGGCGTGTCCTGACAGCCGAAGAGATGGAAGCTCATGGCGCTGATGGCCTCCCTGAGAGCCCGCCCACAATTGATAACTTCAAAGAACAGGTGAAATGCTCTTTTAAATCCTGATTCATATTTCCCATACATGGCTGGTGAGTTAATTGTTAGCTGTTTTGTGGTCTTCATTTTACAGATCGATTATTATGAGGATCTTTATGCTGACATTTCCAAACTTGAAGACTTCAAAGTGTTCAATGGATGGTTTCGGGTGGATATTAAGTTCTTTAAAGTGAGCCTCCTTAACACTGTGAAGAAGTGGAGCTGGCTTTTTAAAGAACACCTCTTGACCTATGTCACTAACAGGTACATTTAGTTTATGCATGGCTTTAGATGCATACTAAACTGTAACATCACTTATACTTACTGTACATGTTTTCCCTCTCAGTCTCGATGAGCTGCAGAAGTTTGTCCGAGCCACTGTTGAAGGGCTAGGCCAGCCTGTGGCTACTGGAAACCACCGTGGCCTGGTGGAAGTGATGAGTCATCTGTTGGCCGTCAGAGACAGACAAGCAGCCACAGACAAGATGTTTGAGCCTTTTAGAGACACAGTGATCCTGCTGGAGCAGTATGGAGTGATCATACCAGACCAGGTCCATTCTCAGCTAGAAGTAAGACATTGAATGGTTTATTGGTTCCTATTTGCATGCTACCTTCAAGAACATATGTGATACTTAATTATAATTTATTCACAAATTATTTTCATTTTGATCTTTGAAAATCTAAATAACTCTCTCAATAGGAACTTCCTGAGAAATGGAGTGGGGCAAAAAAATTGGCCTTAAAAGTGAGGCATGAGGTGGCTCCCATGCAGAATGCAGAAGTGATGGTGATACGGAAACGATGCATGACGTTTGAGGTGAAGTCGCGTTTATATACAGCTTTAAGCTGTTAGAAGCTTTTGATTTTATATATATTTTAGCTAAAACAAATAAAGTAATACTTCTTATTTTTCAGGTGAAACAAAGCAAATTCAGGGAGATGTTCAGAGCAACAGCGCCATTCAGATACAATGCTGTGCGACCCTACATCAGTCTGGAGAAGGTAGGAGTTCAACCTTGACTTGATTATAATAATATTGTATTATACTATACACTTTGGATAACAATTACCATGTGTTGTTTTCTAGTCTGAAAAAGCCGTTCGAGACATGGAGAAGGAGGTGGCAGAGTTGCAGGAGTCCATGAATCTCTTCGATGTTACTATTCCTGACTACAGAGACATCAAGTCCTGTAGGCGAGAGATCACGGTCCTCAAAGAATTATGGGACATTGTTGTGTTTGTGCAGGTGAGTTGCTTAATATATACTGTATATTTAAAGTCTCTATTCTGGAGTGAAGGGAAATCCAGCTGAAGGCCTCATCCCCCCCAAACTTCAATGACCCAAAAACTCAATAACGTGTCCTCTTAGGAGCCGTCATTGATCCTTTGAATACCCTGTCGCCTCTAAATGTCCCCATTAAGTCCCCTCAGCCCATTGACCCCTCTGCATGCGTCTTTATCTATACAGAGCAGTGTTGAAAACTGGACAATGACCAAATGGAGGCAGATAAACGTGGACCAGATGGATGGCGAATTGAGGAGGTTTGCCAAGGTGAGGTCACCAACAGTGCTGCATCACACCAGCATATCTCTCCTGCTGCCTTGCTGTTATGCACCGTTGCTATTTGTAACAGATGCCTTCTAATAACTAATTATGTTTACCTGCCTTCTGTTTGTGTAGGACATACGGAATCTTGACAAAGAGGCTCGCATTTGGGATGTGTATTCCGGGTTAGACCTTTATGTAAAGAACCTGTTGACGTCACTGCGGGCCGTGAGTCAGCTACAGGACCTGGCAATACGAGAGCGCCACTGGGTGCAGCTAATTAGAATAACACAGGTGCATTAACACACACATCAGTGGTCCTGCTATAGAGCATTGTTTTGCTTGCATGATAACAAATTGACACTTTGCATCATGACATTAATTATTTTATAATAGATGGACTTCACTGTGACGGACAGCACCACTCTGGGAGACCTCTTGGCTCTGCAGCTCCATTTGTTGGAAGACGAAGTTCGCAACACTGTGGATAAGGCAGTCAAAGAGATGGCCATAGAGAAGGTTGTTCTGCAGTTAAATATATGGGGTCAAACACTTACAAATAAATTGGGATTTTGCATGTGGAAAAAAGTGACGACATCAGCGAGGAGCTAACTTTTTATACACATGGTCCCTAGCTGAACTGCAAAAACCATGGAATGCAAAACATCAACTTTTCAGCATTGGGAGTATGTTCTTAGATTATCCAAAAAGTTAAAGAATGGTTTATTTAGCAGAACAAAAAAGAGAATTTGTATAATTACTCAAGGCACACTTCATCTAAAGTCATATAAGACATACAAATATATGTTTTTGTTATTACATTTGGTGTCTAAATTACCCCTACACCAAATGTATAATTTATAATTTAACCAAAAGTAAATGCAGGTTCAAACATATAACCATTATACTATATACTTATACTTGATTTCAGATTGTGACAGAAATAAGTAAAACGTGGGCATCGATGGAGCTTTCATATGAAGATCATTACCAAACCTCTGTGTCGCTGCTGAAATGTGACGAGGAACTCATTGAAACTCTCGAGGATCATCAGGTGAATATCTAAGCTGCTGATTTTATGTGTGATCTAATTTCATGGAATGCACAATGGCTGTGAAGCTCTCAAGATCAGTTGTCTGAGAGGAGCACTGATAGTTAAGGGCTGAATAGAGATGAGGGTGCAGAAAGGGGCCGCCCTGTCTGACTGTCTAACAGCACAGCTGAGAGAAGAGGGGTCCCTATTGAGTCTTTAGATTTATAGCTGCGGGAGGACACAGGGCATTGTTGCACTGCGGCGGTCTTTGTACATGTCCACCAGATGCATTGGGGGTTATAGCCAGCAATTAGAAGTCTTGCCACTTTAGTGCCTAGATCTTTGTGTAAACAGACTGTTTCCCTCCCCCATTTTAATGGCATGGCATGCTGATGAGCTTGAATATGCATTGAAATTAAACTGACACATGTTATGAGGTTTAGGTTATTAAGATATTACTTTCTCTGGCCATAGATTGGGTGGTAGTTAAGTGTATTTGAGTTTTGCATTGGATCAAATCCTTTTGAAAGACTATAACCATGTCTGCGTGTCTTCATCCTCTAGGTTCAGCTCCAGGGCATCTTTCAGAGCAAGCATGTGCATCACTTCCTGTTCCAGGTAGTGGAGCTGCAGAAACAGCTGACTGTGGCGGACTCTGTGCTGATGGTCTGGATGGAGGTCCAAAGAACGTGGGCCTACCTGGAAAGCATCTTCAAGAGCTGTGACGACATCTGCCAGCAGCTGCCTGCAGATGCACACAGATTTCAAGTTTTAGATGCAGAATTTCAGGTCTGCACTTATGTTTACTCCTCAGTCATGTAGTTATTCAAATACTATTATTGTAATCATGGTGATGATGGTTCTTTCAGGAGTTAATGTTGGACAGTGCTAAGACTAAAAACGTCATCGAAGCCACCAACAAATCTCATCTATTTGAGAAGTTAGAGGATCTGCAAAGAAGGTTCATTTTCATTTAATTCCATTTGAATTATACTGCTCACAGTTTGAGGTATTGTGCTCACTATTTCCATACTCTGTCTTTGAACAGGTTGTCATTGTGTGAAAAAGCCCTCGCTGAGTACTTGGAGACGAAGAGACTCGCATTTCCCCGATTCTACTTTATTTCATCTGCAGATTTGTTGGACATCCTCTCTAAAGGGAGTCGCCCCAGAGAGGTGCATACATGTAGCATTTCCCTTTATTTAGTTCATGTAACACACTTTAACTACTTTTTCTGTCATGAACAAAATAATGACAGTGTATTTCGCAGGTAACTGTCCACCTCTCAAAATTATTCGACAACATGGCAAATCTTGAGTTTGCTAAAAATGAACATCTGGATAATCCTAAACGTGCAGTGGGCATGTACAGCAAAGAGAGAGAATATGTCCCATTCCAGACTGAATGTTGCTGTAACGGGCCGGTAAGATTACATTGACTATCAGAAAATCTGTATTTGTTACGATATTTCACAAGACAACCTAACGAATGAAACGAATACTTCAGGTGGAGGCATGGCTCTCTTCTCTGGAGGAGTCGATGAGGGAATGTGTCCGCGGGCACCTGTCCGAGGCTGTGTCTGCGTACGAGGACAGACCCAGAGAGCAGTGGATTCTCGACTTCCCGGCCCAAGTGGCTCTCACCGGATCCCAGATCTGGTGGAGCAATGATATGGAGCTGGTGTTCAAAAGACTAGAGGAAGGGTTTGAGTCTGCTCTCAAAGATTACAACAAGAAACAGGTACACTGCATGATGCATTCACACACTAATAAAGATTTCAATGAAATGCAGCTTAGTTGATAAGAAATCTGACTGATCCAAAATAAGAAACATTTTTGTAAATATTTGCTTAATTTAATATATGATATACTTCATATTTGGGCCAAACTGCAGAGTGTTTAAAGACGACATAAATGTGAAAGGTGTTATGCTCATTTATACTCACCTAGTTATTAGAAGAATATTCAATATAAAATGTAATATTTGGGCAGCATGGTAGCGCACTTGGTAGAGCAGGCAACCCATGTAAATAAGAAAAGGTTAAACTCTTGATTAGTTTTTATTTCTATACACATTATTTATAAATCTATGTATATTTATTACAATGTAAAGATTAGATAATGTACGATCTGACTGGTTTCTGTGTCTGTTGTAAGTGAAATGGCAACTGCTAAAGATAATGCAGACATTTTCCATAGTGCCATTATAATGAAATCAGCCTGCTTGTAGGGCCCTGTTGTGGCGTATGCTCATAGTTGTATGATCACTCTTGTCAGATTCATCAGCACTATTTAAGGTTAGCTTGTCCTTGGTTGCTGTTTGAATAATCTCTCTCCCTTCAACGCACGGCACCGCACTGATTGGATCTGCTGTCATACAAGACTAGTGACAAATACAGGACATGCAGTGATGTTTTAGTCAATACAAGAACAAAAGACTACTTCTGATTGTCTGTTTCTTTCAAAATGCCCTCAGGGTCTGCATTAATACACCTAAAGTGCATGTTGTTCTGCATGGGTTTAAGATATAATGACTTTGAATGCCTTCAAATACAAGTGAAACCTGACGTTTGTTGCCAAATTAATCTCATGTGAATTCAAATTGGCACTCGTGTTTTTCTTTCTCCAGATTTCTCAACTCAACATGTTGATCAGCATGCTGCTGGGGGAGCTGAGCTCAGGCGACAGACAGAAGATCATGACCTTATGCACTATTGATGTCCATGCAAGAGACATTGTTGCCAGCCTCATTGCCCAAAAGGTTTGAACAATTTAAATCACCTCATAAAGATCATCTCCTTTAAGTCGGATACATGTAACATTGCATTCTAGTAATATAAAGAAATTCTCATCATATTGGTGTGGAAAAGATAATATCAGTGTTTTTTTAATTTATTTGATTCTCTATGGAAAATCCAATGAAAAGCATAGATTAGAACCTTTTCACTGTGTATTGACCGAGATAAACAAGAGAGGAATTTTACCCAAGGGATACAAAATGCTGTAAACTTTAGGTCTAAACTAAAACATGACAATATTTGAAATAGTTATGATCATTTGACTCCCTGCTGCCCGTATCTCTTGTGATATTATTACCAGCAGCTGAATCTGTTCTCAGGTCACCTCCTCTCAGGCCTTTCCATGGCTTTCCCAGCTGCGGCACTGCTGGTATGAGCAGCAGCATCAGTGCTTCGTTAACATCTGTGACGCCCAGTCCCCTTACTCGTACGAGTATCTTGGAAATACATCGCGTCTCGTCATCACCCCCCTCACAGACCGGTAACTCTGCCGTTTCATCACCTTTCAGTCTATGCAAGTATCATTTCATTACATTTTCTACATTCAGCGTGGCTAAACACAACATTTGTGTCTCTGTGAATGCTGGTCCCGTGGGCATGTTTAGGTGCTACATCACTCTAACTCAGTCACTCCACCTGACCATGAGTGGGGCCCCAGCTGGCCCCGCAGGAACAGGGAAGACTGAGACAACGAAGGATCTTGGCAGAGCCATGGGCGTCATGGTTTACATCTTCAACTGTTCTGAACAGATGGACTACAAGGTTGGACATTCAGTCAGAGGACAATTCAAAGTTATTCTCTTTGCTCAGTGTATGTCTTGATTATCTGTTTACACATGAATGCTAAATGTATTTTTTTCTTTTACATGTTCAGTCAATTGGAAATATCTACAAAGGTCTTGCCCAGACCGGAGCATGGGGTTGCTTCGATGAGTTCAACCGTATCGCTGTGGATGTTTTGTCCGTCGTGGCAGTGCAGGTCAAAACTATACAGGACGCCATTCGCACTAAAAAGAAAAGGTAACAAGTGAAGGCTGAATACATCAAGACTTCATGCTGTAAGACTGAAAACTGTGTTAATAGTCAGCTGCAAATATGGTTTGACCTCAGAAAAATTGCAACAAAAGGTTTCTCAACGGATTATTGTATTATCAGGTGTACTTAATAACATACTAAAAGTCTACCAAAATCTGACTACTAGAAATGTGTATTTTTCAAGATTGCCGAAATTTCTTAAAATACCCTAACTCCTTCATCATTTATGAAGTATTTTGTTGGTATAAACATATGTTTTGGGGGTCTATAAATCCATTGGACTTGTCCAAATTGCAATAATATGATTACATCATTTTAAAATCATACATTTTAAATATATATATAACCCTCCATGCAACCTCACAGGTTCCTGTTCCTGGACCAAGACATTGTGTTAAAGCCCTCTGTGGGGATATTCATCACTATGAACCCTGGCTATGCAGGCAGGACGGAGCTACCCGAGAACCTCAAGGCTCTTTTCAGGTGAGAGGGAAACCGCAGCTTCTTTTATAATGTGCCTTGATTCGGCAGGAAGTTCATGGTCTGCATTTCCTGTGTCCTGCCGTAGACCCTGTGCCATGGTGGTGCCGGACACTGAGCTCATTTGTGAGATAATGCTGGTGGCAGAGGGCTTCCGAGATGCTAAGCTTTTAGCCAGGAAGTTCATCACGTTGTATAGTCTCTGCAAAGAGCTCCTCTCCAAGCAGGTAGGAGAAATATTTTATAATTCAAAATGTTGGATTTGAAAACGGAGCATCCATAATAACGTTTTTCAGCCAACCCCGGAGCACAGTGATTCATGAAACCATTCAATACACCTTTATCTTTCAAAAGAATGATGTATGGAAAGTAATTAATTGTCTATTCTTCTTTGTTTGTTAGGACCACTATGATTGGGGCTTGCGTGCTGTCAAGTCTGTTCTGGTTGTTGCCGGGGCCCTGAGAAGAAGAGACAAGAGTAGACCAGAGGATCAGGTGACTTGCATGTGTTTGGCATCTTACAGCCACAAGAAGAGGAAGCCTCATCGTCTCATACTATAATCCACAATTTCACTTTATTTACCAGGTGCTGATGCGAGCGCTGAGAGACTTCAACATGCCTAAAATCGTCACTGAGGATGTGACTATCTTCTTGGGACTGCTTGGAGATCTGTTCCCAGGCCTGGAGGTGGAGAGAGAGAGAGACTGTGAGTTTGAAACGGCCGTCAGGAAGACAACGCTGGAGCTCCGACTCCAACCGGAGGAGACATTCATCCTTAAGGTTAGGACATGACATATACATGATACACTGAATACAATGCTTGACAAAAAGCTACAAATAATCTATTTTCCAACATTTCTTCATCAGGTGGTGCAGTTGGAGGAACTCATGGCAGTGCGTCATTCAGTCTTTGTTGTTGGAAATACAGGGACTGGAAAAAGCCAAGTAAGTTTGTATTGCCTTTTTTAAAAGTAAATGCTCCGTTTGTTTCGGTAAGGTACATCAAATGTAAGGTTTTGTTTATCCCTTCACCAGATATTGAGAGTCCTCCATAAAACTTATGTCAACTTGAAAAGAAAGCCTGTGTGGAATGACCTCAATCCGAAGGCAGTGGACAGAGATGAATTGTTTGGCTTCATCCATCACGCAACTCGAGAGTGGAAAGATGGTAAACGGAGACGGTTTACTTAGAAATAAGAACATTTAAAATGCAGGACAAGTGCTAACTCATACCACATGTAATCAGTACCTTGATATATTTGTTGTTAATTGTGATTTTGAATCCCTGTGTTAGGTTTGCTTTCATCACTGATGCGAGAGCAAGCAAACATCTCCCACACCGGACCTAAGTGGATTGTGTTGGATGGAGACATTGATCCGATGTGGATTGAATCACTCAACACGGTGATGGATGACAACAAGGTACCTCCCTCCTGTTCACCCATACACTAGTGTGCAACACATAGCAGCCAAGGTGGCATAGATAGAAAAAGATGTTTCTTTCCCCCTCCTTCAGCAATCACTTCCTGGAGTGTGAGTACTTGGAAATCTTTTTCCAGAGCAATGAATCATGTCCGAGTGATCTTGTACCTTTGAAATATTCTAAAGCAAGTCTGTCCAATATGATGAAATATGAAGGTGTTTTCGGCAGACTATTGTCCGTCATGTTGACCTTTCAAATGTTATGACTTTTGTAAACTGTTATGCTTTCTAACGTCTTTCAGGTCCTCACGCTGGCCAGTAATGAACGTGTCCCACTCACTTCATCCATGAGACTGGTGTTTGAAATCAGCCACCTGCGGACGGCCACTCCTGCTACCGTGTCCAGAGCAGGAATCCTCTACGTCAACCAGCAGGACCTGGGCTGGAACCCGTGAGTGACACAGTTTGTATTCACATATGATCAAAGCATCATTAACGTTTTCAATTCAATGCTTGAGCTTGTTTCACTTAAGTGATGTTATTGAGTGTTATTACGTTTTCAATGTATCCTCATATAACAGTTTGAGTTTTCCTATGAACGTCCAACAACCCAGGTGATCAGTTGTTCTGCGCAAGCTCCTGCACTTGGTTTAGTTTAAGAAAAGATCATGATTAGGGTCAAATAAATTGCATGTATGTAGCTTTACATGTTGGTTTTGGATAAGTAAATAGGTTACTTGGAGGCAGAAATGCAAATCCTAATGATCAGGTGGGTTAAATACAAATTATAGTGAAATACTTATTGTAGATAAAGTTACGAAACACTGAATAGGAACAGTCTGCATTGTTTCCAAAGACAAAGACACTGTTTCGGATCCTGATCAGATCAATACAGCAATATATAATGACTCCGTCTTCCTCAGGTACGTTGCTAGCTGGATTGACCAACGCGAACGGCAGACAGAAAGGGCCCATCTCACCATCCTGTTTGAGAAATACGTTCCTCGTTGTCTAGAACAGATGAGAAACTCCTTCAAGACCATCACTCCCATCCCAGAAAGCTCTATGGTGCAGGTACGCAAACACAAGCATGTTCATGTAATGTTTCTCCTATTCTATGCTTGAACAGTCAACACATCACAATGAAATCATTATTGTTTCCCCTTGTTCAGACACTCTGCGCTTTGCTCGACTGCCTTCTAACACCAGAAAATATTCCATCTGACTCTCCACGGGAGCTCTATGAGACCTACTTCACCTTTGCCTGCATCTGGGCTTTTGGGGGGGCTCTGTATCAAGATCAGGTATTACTTTGGTTTGATTCAAGTGGATGAAATTGAGTTTGGATTAACAACAAAACAAAAAACCGCCAACTATAATTCCTTATCAACATAAATAGCATATTAATGTAAGCATACTGTTGATGTGTACATTCTGACAAGGCAATGATACACTCTCTGTTTGTTCTTAATTCCTTTGGTGCTCAAAACTGTTTTCACTAAAGGACATTGTGCGTTTTTCATTGAAAATGTGGATCTGGGCATATATCTAGGACTGTTATACAAGTTTATTGGATAGTTTGTTAATTATCTTTGTAATAGTTGGCTCTACTTACTCCTCGAGTTGTCTTTGTACTTCTGGAAGGTATAAATATAGGGTGAGGGGCCACACGGGCCCTTTTGCTGACAGACATGTCAAACTGTCAAGTGATCAAGAATATGATAAGCTTATTGTACCTGTCAATGATTGTGACTAATTGAAGGGTTGTTCATTTAAATGATATATATTATTGCATGATATGATATGTTCTATGATTTGTCCAGCTCTATGATTACCGGGTACTGTTCAGTCAGTGGTGGACCAAAGAAATGAAGACAGTGAAGCTTCCAGCACAAGGGAGCGTGTTTGACTACTACCTTGACCCTCAAACAAAACGCTTCCTGCCCTGGAGTGACACTGTGCCGCCGTTTGAAATGGAAACGTGCACTCCATTACAGGTACAAAAAATATTAGCTACCGAAAATGCGGGGGAGTGTAACTCTTTGAGATGCAGACTTTTCAAAGCAGTTTGACAAATAATCACAAACATGATCACGAGCAACCTTCTTAAAGAAAATTAACCAGAAATGAACAATACAGCGATATTAAAAATGTTTGTATGCCTGAGTGAACATAATAAGAGAGGGTAAAGTCCAATCAGGAGGTTATGGTAGGGGTGCTAGAATGGATGATGGGCTTTCCACTGTGTCTGATTACCATCTACTACACCCCATACCAGACTGTGTGGGGGTGAAGGCATGAGCAACAAGGCTTGAGCTATCACCCACGCTCTATTGTCTTTCTGTATGCTCCTGCGTACAGCTGTGAATGCTCCAAAGGCTCTTGCTGAGCCATAATTAGTGGGGTTTTGTTCTGAGCAAATGATGCTATTATGACAGAATAGTTGTGGTGTACTGGGGAAATACAAGAAATTATAAATCACATACAATTCACTGAACACATGTCTGTCAATAAATCACACTCAAAGAAAGCCATAATAACTATGTATGTTTCTGCTTTGTGTCTTCCTGCTGTTTCTATGATTGCAGGCTGTTCTGGTACACACAGCAGAGACTGTGCGTCTTCGCTACTTCATGGACTTGTTGCTGGAGAGGAGACAGCCAGTGATGCTGGTGGGGAATGCGGGAGTGGGAAAGACTGCACTTGTCAAGAACAAGTTTGACTGTCTGCCAGAGAGTTACATGAGTACAAAAGTACCCTTCAACTACCACACTACCTCCCTCATGCTGCAGGGTGAGAGAGGGGGGGGTTCTGTTCTTTTGTAGTGACTCGTATATCAAGTAAACTGTAGCACCATCTGCTGGTAATGCTCAGATTCAGAAAGAGCGGGGGGGGGGGGGGGGGGGGGAGAAAAACATAACAACCATTGTTATTGTAATCCTCGCCTGAGTCATATGGCATCTGCACAATTCCAAAGTTGGTTTGACTAGTGTAAGAATATTCTAGCTTTTGTGTTTCTTGTATGTGTGTAGTTTTGTTGATATTTTGTTGTTGTTTGTTTTCTCTTGTAGAGATTCTTGAGCGACAGTTAGAGAAAAGAGCAGGACGAAGCTACTCCCCTGCAGGCAACAGAAGGATGGTCTACTTCATCGATGATATCAACATGCCAGCTGTCGACAGTTACGGAACAGTGCAACCTCACACACTCATACGTCAGCATCTGGATTATGGCCACTGGTGAGAAGACCCCACATGCTCACTACTAGTTGTTGTTGTGTGTTTGAGTCTTATGCCACCACATGAACTATTTAGCAAAATTGTGGTCTGTTCACTGATTAAATAAAGAATGTATTTCCTTTGATCTCTGTAGGTATGACCGACAGAAGCTGAGCCTAAAGGAAATCCACAATACCCAGTATGTTGCCTGTATGAATCCAACGGCTGGGAGCTTCACTATCAACCCCAGACTACAAGTATGTTTTCCATTCACAATGTCCTAGCATCTCAGTTTTTGATTTGAATTAAAACAAGCATATTGCTCCAGCATATCTTTTTTGAAATGCAGTCTTATGAACTATCTATGTTTTGATACAGGATAGTTTTTGTAAGTGTACATTTAAATGTGTGAAAATAAATCTTAGTAAATAGTGTTTTTATATATTTATTTGACGGTGGCAACGTTGATTCATTCATATCCAGAAGAATCAGGAGTCAATTGGTTTTTATAGTGAATCATGATTTGCAGAATATTTGCAGGGACTAGGATTATTTTTATATCCGTGTATTTTGGAGCATAAACAAAACACGTAAAAAATTTCAACATTTATTTTGACATTTTCTGAAGTTTGGTTTGTGCCTTTTCTCTACAGAGACATTTCTCAGTGCTGGCGGTGAACTTCCCTTCGTCTGAGGCTCAGACGTCAATCTTCAGTCAGATCCTGTGTGGCCATCTCAAGCAGGAGCACTTCAGTCCGCTGGTTCAGAGGAGCGCAGCAAGTGTCGTCCAGGCTGCCATCTCTCTTCATCACAAGATGGTCCACAGCTTTCTTCCCACAGCCATCAAATTCCACTACACATTTAATCTACGAGACTTGTCGAATGTCTTCCAGGTAGTAAAGACAGTGAGCAAATACTGCAATTACACTTTATAATGAAAACATGAACATTCATAGGATTATTTGTGTTCCTCAGGGCATCCTACTGGCTAGGCCTGACAGTGTGGGAGAGAGCACTGACCTGGCACTGCTGTGGCTCCACGAGTCCTGCAGAGTGTACTCCGACAGACTGGTAGATGACAAGGACCTGCAGCTCTTCCGGAAGCTCCAGATGGAGACTGTGCATGTATGCTTTGAGGTGCAATACAGATTCTGTTAAAGGGTGTAAACCATTTAAATTGCTCTTCCTCACCTTCAGATATCAACACAAAGCAAGAGATTTCAATGATTTATTATGCTTGTTCTCTTCCAGGGGCTGGAGGACAAAAAGGTGACACAGCAGCCCCTCCTCTATTGCCACTTTGCCCAAAAGGGCAATGAAGCCTCGTATGCTCCTGTTGCAGACTGGACTGCGCTCAGGTCCGTCCTCACAGATGCCCTGGAGAGCTACAACGAGCTCAACGCAGCCATGGATCTGGTGCTGTTTGAAGACGCCATGGAACATGTGTACGTGTAGCTGTTTCGCATCTTATTGTCATCGTCATGAAGACTTCATTCATTGTTTTTCTTTGACAACGTTCCTGAACTGTTTTGCACCAAAAATTAAACCTAAGACACTAAACACAAATTAGCAAAAGATGAAGCTTTTTAAAAAACGTAAAAGTAGTAAGGAAATAATATTTTATGGAAAATAAAGATGGCACTTTTATGCAGAAAGCTAAGTTAATATGAATGATTGGCTTATGTTAGAAGCATCTACATTGCACAATAACTTTGACCTGCACACATCCATGTCAATATATTTAACATTCCGGACTCAAATATATATATGTTCATTTAATTAATTTCTTGTTTTAACAGCTACTTACCTGTATATCATTTCGATGTTATCTTTAATTGTATTAACCTTATGTTAATCGGTGCTGTACTTTGGCTCTCACTCACTGTTGCTGCTTACACTCCTGAATTCCCCCACAGGGATTAATAAAGCTCCATTTTATTTGATCTAATCTGTGCAGCTGATATGAAGATTACACAACAGTCGGAATAGATGTATAGTATTTGATTGGAAAGAGTTGTTTGATGGCGTAACAAAGATTGTGTTGTTACCAGCTGTCGCATCAGTCGTATCCTGGAGTCTCCGAGGGGTCACGGCTTACTGGTCGGGGTCGGGGGCAGCGGTAAGCAGAGCCTGACTCGTCTGGCTGCCTACATTTCCTCTGTGGAAGTCTTCCAAATCACTCTGACTAAGGGTTATAGCATCCAGGACCTCAAGGTAAATGTTGATGTGGTTAATAAGGTGCAGCCAAACTAAGTTTCACTCTAAACGATATTTTTATGAACATTGATGCCCTTTAAATCGTAGTTACAATCATTTAGAAGTCACTTAAATCAAGGATTATTTACAAATATCCTTAAATAATTGTCCTTCTGGCTGCTTGGGGGACATTGATGTGATTTAGTTTTATTTATCTCTCACTGACACAGGAAATAATTGTCAGATACTATTTAAAGCCAATAGTAAATGTTTCAATATCACATTGCAAGTTTGTCAATAGAATCATTGAATAGCCCCTTAAAAAAAATCCAGGCGCTATCATGGGACTTGTTATGTCATTGATTATCGTTGGGTAGAAATTCTCTAGTGGACTCCTCATCAGTTTGAACAGCATGTTTATTTCATGGCATGTGTTGTTTCATTTAGACGGATCTGGCAGGCTTGTTCCTGAAGACTGGAGTGAAGAACCAGCGCGTGGCTCTGCTGCTGACTGACGCACAGATCCCTGATGAACGCTTCCTGGTCATCATTAATGACTTACTGGCTTCAGGTCAGACCTAAACTCCATCATACTGGGTTTTAGCTGTGAGAGCACTGATTCAGATCAATTATCCACTATCAAACTTCAAAAGTATTTGAAATCATTCTGAATGTATACATTGTATGAAGAGTAAATATCGATCAGCTCACCTTGTCAGACTATGACTGTGTCTTTCCTTCCAGGGGAGATTCCTGAGCTCTTCAGTGAGGAGGAGATTGAAGGCATCGTGTCGGCGGTGAGAGCTGAGGTCCGAGCCCTCGGACTGCTGGACAGCAGGGAGAACTGCTGGAGATTCTTCACTGACCGAGTTCGACTCCAGCTCACGGTCTTTCACATTTTTCTTCTAAAGAAATGGCTATTAACGAGTGATTCTAACTTTCTAATTGTTCTTAAGCCGATTTTGTCATGATCATTTGTTCGATTGTATGTCATCGGTGTTCCTCAACGCATCTGTGAGCAGTTTACTGTCAACATCATTTTGTTGAAATGTTGTACTTGCAAAGTTCTGTCCCTAAAATGACAAAGACGAGAAGCAATATTCATTTTTTTCTCTACAGTTATCGTTATTCAATTCTGCCCAACAAGGACTTTGAAGTGTTTCTGAGACAAAAAGCGGTAGAACGCGGTTAATTTCCACACGACTGAAACAACTTTTTACTAATAAAGCCTGTAGAAGCACCTTTATCAATTCACTTTGTATTTGAAGAAATGGGTATTTTGTATGTACAATATTTTTTGTGGGGAAACATCTCTGAATACTCCTTATTGACTGTAGCTTCAGCTAGGCTGTTGGCTGTTTCTGTTCCCCAGCAATAATAATTCAGATCCTGTTAGCTGAAGTGCAAGACATATTAAATGACCAAAATCAAATCAGATCAATGTTGTGCTAGATGATTTTGATAGCACTTGAATGTGCCTTCACAGCTGACATTAACCACAGGAAATCAATACAAATCTTGCACATACTCTAGCGTGTTGAAGCTACAAAATTAAAAGCACAGCTGCTGTGTAGTGTTATTAAATATGTTTGACGGTCTCAGAACACACAGCCAGTCTCTGCGCCAGGGCCTCTGGTAGCGTCACCGTCTGCTCCAGCCAACTGGGAATGTGGCTGCCTGTCCGCATGCCAAGGCAACCAAAGTGGGGGGACAGAAGGCTGCCAGTGATGGGTTTCCTTTTTGGATGCTTCTGTGATGTCTATGAACTGTGTTGATTTTCCTACTTGGCTGTATATCTTGTCATTCACCTTGTGGAGATCTGTGTGGTTGACTCTGTCTCCTTGCTTACTGTTTCCTTGTAGGTGGTGCTGTGTTTGTCTCCTGTGGGCAGTGCCCTCCGTGTAAGGGCCCGTCGATTCCCTGCTCTCGTCCAATGCACCACCATTGACTGGTTCCACCCTTGGACCTCAGAAGCGCTGCAGTCCGTCAGCTACAGATTCATCCAAGAGATCGAAGGCATTGAGGTCAGGCCTTTGAGTTCTCAAGTTCTTTATCTCACCATATCTATCATTGTAATATTCAAAGTCTGAATGCAATTATTATTTAGTGGCTCCCTGCTTTCCCTTCTTTGATTCTACTTGTAAACTAACTTGTAATATATATATATCTTACATTGTTGCAAATACAAAATATTATTATATTGATGATTTACAGGCGAAACCCTACTCCATATAGAGAGAGCTTTTCGCAAGATCTCGTTAATTCAGAAAAACAAGCAGATTTGTTTTGCAGAAAAACGTTTCTCCAATTCCAAGACACATATTGTTAATCAAGAAAAAGAAGGCAAATATTACGTTCTCAAAACAATGCTTACGTAGCCGTGTACCCCTTTTTTTGCAGACCGAGTTAGACTTTAATGAACACCTTCTAATTACTACAGTGCAGCTGGATTAACTTTTCCATAGATCCCTCATCATTAACTCTCTGCTGAGGTACTGACAAATTGCCAAACACATGCCTGGAGACTCACAGTGAGTGCAGGCATATCATTGTTTTCCATCATAGCAGTGGAACGATCACAACCCACGATCATTTATGTTAATGAGAGAAGAGTGATTAGTCCCATAACGACCCTCTAAGGAGGCACAGCTGTCACAACCAGGAAGTGTCATCTCATATGTGAACATGTGCCAGACTAGTGTGTGTACATCTGTCTGTGTGTGGAGGCTCCAAGCTGTACTGCCTGAGAAGTTGTGGTATTATTCGAGCACTTGTACATAAGCAATAGTATTAAATGCAGCTACAGTACTAAGTTTGAGTTATAGTTGTAGCAGCTGTAGTAGATGAGTACTAATGAGGGTAGTTCTTAAAGCTACAATTATTCATCTTTTTGTTGATCCAGAGTTAATACATCTGCTTTTTTAAATTATTTGATAGCTTTTACCATTATAGATAGTTTTTTTAGGTATTTTAAAGGAAAGAGATAGTAAATGTATTTTTGCTTACATTTTTTGTGTATATATATATATACTGCATATATTTAAATTATTGTCAACTGAACATAATCTGTTTATTTGTATTTTTGGTCATTAAAAACAAGGTATATAACAAAATTACCTTGCGCAAGTTTCCCCATTCTCTGACATGTTATAGCAATTCATTAAGAAGTTAATACAAATATATATTTGTTTGTGGCAGCCGTAGTAAAGTTATACTTATAACAATTTATAATCAAAGGGGGACTTGTATAATTAATAATCTTCTTTTGTCTGCAGAAAGGAGTTTGTGTTAGTTTTAGTTCATGTGCATTAATATATAATACATTTTGAAAAGTTGAAACAAAACAATATGTCATATTAATGTATATTTAAGTCTTTAATGATTGTTTATCTTCCTACAGAGGCTGGGAAACAAGAAATGATCATTTATTTAAAGTTAGAAATCACAACCCACTAATAGCTACAGGCTACTAATCAATGAGAACTTCTTTCGTATCTCAACTGAACCTAGCATGCTTTGTCAAAAAGCATTATGTCAGATCTTAATTAATAATGATTTTTTTCCCCCCTACTGGCTCCATGATCATTAACAATGGCTTTTTGTGAGTTATGGTTAGGTTTGATCCCTGCATTGTCTGCTCATTTGTTTTTGCTTTAATTGATCGCTAACTGTATGATTAATAGAGGCTTTGTGTCATTGAGCACCACATGATGAATACCTAGTTGAAATGTAGTCCAACAGCCGCTGTAGACGGTGTTTAGAAAGTTGTAGAATATCAGAGATAATGTAAACGTTGCGCATGTTTTACAAGCTGCATGTCAGTGGTCTAAACACATTATTTTCACAGTGGTTTCAAAGCCTAATCATTCCTGCTAGCTGCACCTACATTTCAGATTGAGTAAGTCAGGGCCGGCCAAGTAAGATGGCAAAACTTGGAGATGAATTCAACATTTATGAAGATAATATTTCACTCCCCACCAGGTTGGGGGTGTTAAACTCCACTCAATTCAGCTCACCCTGTTCTCCCCTCGCCCCCCCTGTCTGCTTATTTTTACAGCCTGCCGTCCAGGAATCCATCAGTCTTTTCATGGCCTACGTTCACACCAGTGTCAACCAGGCAAGTGAAAAATACCAGCGCAATGAGAAGAGGTACAATTACACCACCCCCAAGAGCTTTCTCCAGCAAATCACTCTGTACAGAAACCTTCTGGAGAAGAGCCGAGCTCAGCTCCAGCACAAGATGAACCGACTTGACAGCGGCCTTCAAAAGCTCCAAACCACGGCCGCTCAGGTAAATGTCTTTATTATAAACTGTAGGGAGTCAAATGGTGGGTTTCAGGTAGAAGGTAACGTAACATTTGGAATAGTACTATTATTAGATATTTTATTCCCACAGTGGGGGTTTTGCCTTGACATTAAGGATATTACACAAGCCCTTTTCTGTGTTTTAGGTCGATGATCTTAAAGCTAAACTCGCATCCCAAGAAGCGGAGCTGACCTGTAAAAACCAGAACATCGAGGCTCTCATCACAAAGATCGGACTTCAGACTGAGAAGGTTAGCAGCAAGAGAGAGGCTGCAGATATCGAGGCACAAAAGGTTTGAAATCATATCCATCATTGGTTTTTATTCACCTTAGGCACGACACTCTCCCTACCATACCATTCCCTACATGTTCATTTTCTGATGCTCTTCATGATGGTTGCTTTTTCACAGGTTGCTGTCATAAAGGCAGAAGTCTTAGTCAAACAGAAGGACTGTGAAAGTGACTTAGCCAAGGCAGAGCCATCTTTAGCAGCTGCAACAGAAGCACTGGACACCCTCAACAAGGTGCTTCATTTTATCAACAAAAAAACTAAGACCCTTTCAAATCTTCACTCATCCTAAAGACAATATATTGTGTGTGATGATTTTGTAGGTGAATCTTACTGAGCTGAAGGCCTTCCCAAACCCCCCAGCAGCAGTGATCAACGTGGCAGCAGCTGTGATGGTGCTGCTCGCTCCCCGCGGTCGGGTGCCAAAGGATCGGAGCTGGAAGGCGGCGCGGGCCTTCATGGGCAAGGTTAAGCTGTCATCATGTCAATCACATCTGCCTGATTAATGCCAATCTAATTTGTGTGTGGGCCTTGACCCTGGCCCTGCCCGGCTCTCCAATGCACACATTACAGCTCAATGGCTTTATGAATATGCTCGCTCAGTAGGGGAGCAAGTGTGTCGGCCCCACTCGCAACCTCTAGCTGCTATTAATGCAAGTGTGGCTATAACAATGATTATTTGGTTTTTAAAAGCCTGTAGGATTATGCATGAATATGAGATGTTTTTTCTTACCAAAAGCAGTTATATTGTCATTTTAGACCCAGTAGATCTTTTATGTATTTGGTTATCTGAAATGTTTCATTGGTAGAAAATGCATGTGCATCTGATACATGCCTTTTTTATTATTTAATTTTCACTTACTGTAGATCCTTAAAAGTGGCTGTAGGTGGGAAAAGATGAAGACAAAGTCATATAAAGATACAGGTTGTTGTTTTTTAAATAAAATGCATTCAGTGTTCGACCACTATGCTTTTCCATTATGATGATCTGCAGTCTGCCTTCCTCCAATACCCCTGCCAAGTATTAGTCTATAGCAACTGTGTTCAGAATGATCTTATTACAAAAGAGATTATATCATTTGTGTGCAGTTTAATGGAGAACACAAACAAATTATAAACCATATTTGATATGTGAAATCTTTTGTATGTCTCACTTTCTGGTTTTAGTAATAAGTCAGATCTTTGTTACAGAATCTCATTATAGACTGCTGCCAGCGCAAAACACTGGAGATGGTATTAATGTGTATCTTTGTTAACGCCTGTCAGGTGGATGATTTCCTTCAGGCCCTGACGTCGTATGACAAGGAGCACGTCCCCGAGGTCTGTTTGACTGTGGTAAAAAAGGAATATCTGAAAAATCCACAGTTCCACCCTGATCTGGTTCGGACTAAATCTACAGCTGCAGCCGGTCTCTGTGCCTGGGCTCTAAACATTGTCCGGTACTACGAGGTGAGGAAATGCCTTCAGATAAGTTGTAGTTACAATAAATGTTACATTTTGTTTATATTCCGCAAAAAGGTGTTTTTATCCTTGTAGAACCTTTGTAAAGTACGACTCTTTTTTTGCAGATTTATTGTGAGGTCATTCCTAAGAGGCATGCATTATCACAAGCTAATGCAGAACTAGACACAGCTACAGCCAAAAGGTTAACAGTTCAAAAGAAATTGGCGGTGAGTGCACTCAATGTTATAATTAAACTCAATTAAGACATCCTACTGTAAAAGCTAGATTTTTGTAATGCTGTCTAATTTCCATGGCTTCCTTTGGTTTGTTTCTCAGGATCTTGATGCAACCCTACAGAGCCTCACAACTCAGGTTGAAGCAGCTACAGCTGAGAAACTCAGTTGTCAGGAGGAGGTGAAACGCACCAACCAGACCATAGAGCTGGCCAACCGACTGGTCAAAGGCTTAGAGGTAAACAAGGAGAGATAGAGGAGTGTGTTGGTGTCATTGGGGCAGACCTGGCATAGAGTAAACTGTCAATTAGCCGGAGGCATGCATGGAAAGGCGCTGGTAATGGACTTGCATCAGTAATCTGGACTAGAAAGTTGTTATATCCATTCCTGGCAAGCTAGTCCGATGGTTGTGTGAGTACTTCAGGCGGAGGGAGATTTAACAGCTCCGCCAGCAGCAAACTGGGGACTTGTGAGACAGGTAGAGAGGGCTGGACCACAGACAACGCATGGCTGAACTGGGCAACCGGCTGTCTGAATGCTTTCCAAACAGAAAGGGAGAGAGATGGCAAGAGTGCTACACTAACACTGCTCTCAGTCAACGCAGTAGAGAGTAGAGTATGTACAGAATGTGTGTGTACTGTGTCACTGTAAGACTGGATGGATTTTATTTGTAATATTAATGAATTCTCAATTATTATTTTTTTAAAGTATCAAGGGGAAGTTGTATAATCTGAATATATGAATGTTATTGCTGCTTATCTGTTGAATATTCTATTAAACTGTTTTGCATTTCTATGCGTGCCTTTTTCAGGTTACAGTATTTATTATCTTTATGGATGCTAAAATGAAATAAAAGATGGCCATTTGTACGTTTCCTCATGCCAGAAAATAAATGCGGTTTGCATGGAACAGCTTGGCTTTTAAGCATATCAAGATAAATGTTTAGTCTTTATGGCATTGACCTGGAAGCAATAGTGTTCAGACTAATAAATCAGGCCGTCTATATTTAATCGTTAACTTACCTCAAAGCCTCAACAGCTGTTGGAAATTAACAATGTCTCACCCCAGACTGAGTGATATTACAGGCAATCCATAAGGCATTAGAGTAAAATTATAGTGATTTTTAACTGTCTGAAAATGTATTATGTGACATATTCTAGATCCACAGCCCCTTGTAAGAAAATGCCATGCATGATTTATTGTTGTAGTACTGTCACAGTCACAGTATTGAAGGTTTAAATGAATGCTAAATTGATGCAGAGCGGGTCTACAGCCAAACTTCCAAAGCTATTTTAAGAGAATTACCGTTGTATGCTTTACTGCTTCCATCTTCTTAATCTGTGCAATAAATGCAGTAATAAATGAAGTACATTTCCCTGCAGTGGAGATTCTTCTTCAGTTCTACAGTTCATTCTGTCTCCAAATGGGCTAGTTTGTCTTATTGTCCCTTTATCTGTGATGATATGATATTAAACCCAGATTCCTCTGTCTTCCAGTCAGAGAAGGAGCGCTGGTCCCAGGCAATTGTTGAGTACGAAAAGCAACAGAGAACTCTGTGTGGCGATGTCCTCATCACTTCAGCCTTCGTCTCTTACATGGGTTACTTCACAAGACAGTATCGCGTGGAGCTTCGAAACAACGCATGGATCCCTTTCCTCCATTCTCAGAAAGTAAGGCTAACGCTTATTCAACAGACTTTGTGTTTGGAGAGTCAAATCTTTCTCTCCATAAACATCCACAGCAGAATCTGTGTACTGCTGCCAAAGCTCCAACTAGAGTGAAATCATCGCTGGCTTTCTGTTCCAGGTCTCCGTACCCCTGACAGACGGCTTGGATCCAATCCTCATGCTTACAGATGATGCCACTGTGGCTGCCTGGCATAACCAGGGCCTGCCAAACGATAGGATGTCCACCGAGAACGCTTCCATCCTGACCACCAGTGAGCGTTGGCCGCTCATCATCGACCCGCAGCAGCAGGGCGTCAAGTGGATCAGAAACCGGCTAGGGTCAGAGCTGAGGGTGGTGCAGCATGGACAGAAGGGGTGAGAAGAGGATGTCATCTGATGGCAGTTAATATCGCCAGAAAATTGCAGTTTTTCCACGTTTTTAATGTATACGTTTGTTGTTGTTTCTGTTTTATTTTATTAGTAGCACATGATAACAAAGGCCCTACGTAGCTGTGTACGTAACCGGATGTAGGATAACCTGGAAGAGCGTCAGGACACGTTTTAGGCATTTGATAGCTATGTGACAACGATTAACATGATGATTCAGCCTCTATGGAAGTATATGACTGTCATGTTTATTGCTTACGTGGGCTTTAGCTAATCTGAACTAAACATTGTATACTGCTTTGAACCGGTGTACATGCATCTTGTGACTGAATAACACCCTGTCTTGTATATAAACCATGTGAAGGACACTGTTCTGGGAATAATTATGTATGTGATGACTACTTCCACTCTTGCAAGGATGATAAATACATGTTCCTGATTATTGAAGCTCAAGCCGGTGACGAGTGATATTTTTCTAACGGAGGCTAAACCCTCTCTGTCTAACAAAATCTACATGGACTGCTAAAATATGGTAGCATAGAAACACGAATGTCCTTCCATCTTTGTTTCATCCCTTTTATTCCGTTTCCTGTCTTACTCCCTAGGTATCTAGATGTGATTGAACAAGCCCTTGCCTGTGGTGAAACAGTACTGTTAGAGAATCTGCCGGAGAAGGTAGACCCAGTCCTGGAGCCTCTGCTGGGGAGAAACACTATTAAGAGAGGAAGGTCAGTACTAAAACATTACATTTACTTTGTACTTTATGGATTAAAACAAAGGCGTATATAAAGCATTAATCCAGCATCAATAGTAAAAGCTTTGTTTTGTTAGGTTAGTACTGAAAAATGACATTGTTGTACTTCATGGATTAAAATAAAACGTATATAATGCATTAATCTACCCCACCCAAGGGGCTGTTGCACACACGTTTTAATCAATGTGCAGTATTTGTATCCCTGTTGATCCGCGAGTCAATATGCCCACAACTCGTCCCCATGTCTCTGTGGTGTTGGACAATAGGAGCAGATTTGCCAGATGGTTGAGTCTCACTGAGCTTTGAAACACCAGTAAGACATGACTGAACGCATTATTATTGCCCACTCTTTAGATTATTAATGAATTTGCAGCACGTGTTCTGAATCCCTGAGGCCAGCATATTGATTGGCCCCTCAAGACGGGTGATAGATGTATATTTGTGTGTTCATATTCTTTAGGTGTGATGAATATTAAACAGCTGGGCCTAAGTGTAAAAGCTGAATTGAGGACAGTCATGGTTATGTATAAGGACTCCTGTCTCCTACAAAAAGATGGCCTGCTACACACTAAATTCAGGGGTCCTCCATCATTATGGCAAACTCAATTCAGCTTCAATCAATTCATAATGTCGATTTGCCGGCATTTATTCAGAAACAGGAACATAACTGATTCTATTTAACCTCCACTAAGATGCATCTGGATTATTTTTGACTTATTTTAAGTAGTCAGGTCTTATATGGGTATTGTATTTAATTATGAACAAGACATTATCAGTAGTGCTACTATCCTTAAATGATTTAGCTTTTATACATGCTAACCATACTAGCACTTGTTTGAAACAGCCTATATTTGGTAAATCTATCTGCTGTCAAACCTGATTTTCAAACATGAGTACTGCTACCCACTTTATCCACTTCACGGTGCCACCAAAATAGCTGCTCTGTAATTACCTTTGTACGGTTACCAATTACCCTATAACGCACAAAACCCAGCAAATGTTCTTAAAGGGACAAACAGCAGCAGTATAAATAGAAAGTACCACATATTGACATTCTGCTTTGACTCTCACCTCAAAAATGTTTACATCTTTCTTGCTCTGATCTATGCATGACCATGAATATTGAATCTCTTGGCACATGGTCGTTGAACTTCTTCTGAAACCCTGTCTGTCCAGACGTAACAATTCATCATAGTAAATCTGATTATAAGTTTTTCCCCTGTAGATGACCCGCACACTTGTTTCTGTCGATGATTAATACAACCTGCGCGGGCAGCCATGATGGATCTGGTGGGGATCCACAGCTGAAGTTCATTAATAATTGGAATGTTGTAGAGTGTGAAGTAATGAATACTAATTATTCCTTTCATGGCTGACGGAAGACTACAAGCCAATCCATCAGCAAGGACTTTAATTTGGTGGAGTAATGGTTCTATCAATAGTACATTAATTCTGGCTTGTGAAGATATAGAGTTGAACCAGACCCAGGCCATGAGGAACCTGTGTTGTAAAATTGGGGCCTTGCCTGACATCCAAGGGGTAATTAGAGAAAAATGAGAAGCCACCAAGTTCGTCAAGCCATCGCTAATTTAATTGAAATGCAGGAAGAGATAAATATTGGCCGCTGTGGTGATAATCTTTCTTAATTCTTCATGAGTATTTGTCTACAGTGTGAGTGACATTCGGAGCGGGAGTGAAGTTCTTTCCTCTGCTGAGGTTGTTATGCATGAAAAGTGAGAGTTCAATAGGCTAAGATAGTCAAGACAAAATGGAGTGTTTGCACTGCCGCCGTACAAATAATCTACTGGTTCATAATCATCAGTCATTATCATTTAATCTCAATTGAAATCCCCTGCACTGTCTTTTATAGGAAAGCACTGGTGATGTTTCTAATCATCTAGACTAGATCCCATCATCATTAATGTTTCCCTTTCTTAAAGTCTACTGCTGGGAATACACAACAAACCAAGGCAAATATAACTCTGCTGCCGTTTTTGCTGTTCCATTTTTTTTTCTAGTTAAAGAGAAAAAAGAACTGTTTCCTGCAAAGTGGTCTTTGATCCGTAAACAACAACTCTAAACATGAAAGATCACTATTATCCTTTGGATTAGTCGTTTTTAGTCATTCTATTGACTAACTTTTTCGGAAACTTTTTATCAATTGGCTCATTGTCATGGAGATTGGTCGTAAAAATACCAGTAGCTGTTAGATTTCCTCCTTCTGGGACTTCTTGTTTATGCTGCAATAAAAGTCAGACATGAATTCATATGGTGCTTATTTTGAATATGACAAAAAAAGCTAACTCTGTAGATCCACATTTGTAGTATACAATAAAGTAAAGTTGCATTTTCCACGTTTTAAAGTACTTCAACTTTCATGAAATAAATCATGAGATGTACTTTCTGTTAATCATTGAATGTTTCACTCGTAGCCTTTCCTTACGTTTTGATTGGCTTTCAGCTATATATATTTTGTAAGTGTACCCTTCTGTTATCCAGGTATATTCGTATTGGCGGCAAGGAGTGTGAAAACAACAGCAACTTTCAACTCATCCTCCACACCAAGTTGGCCAATCCCCATTTCCCCCCTGAGCTGCAGGCCCAGACCACCCTCATCAACTTCACAGTGACTCCTGTGGGCCTGGAGGAGCAGCTGCTGGGACAGGTGGTGTCCCGCGAGAGGCCCGACCTAGAGGCCTTAAAGGTAAATCCATTGGTATTTGATGAACTATATAGACTGCTAAACCTGTGGTTAGGACTTTTATCGATGATATGATTACATTGAAAACATCAGTTCATAATGGCAAATGGAAAAGTCTGAATTGTTTTGTGTACGATTCCTAAGATGGAGCTGACCAGCCAGCAGAACCACTTTAAGATTGAACTGAAGAGGTTGGAGGACGACCTGTTGAGTCGCCTCTCTGCAGCCCACGGTAATTTCCTCGGTGATATTTCTCTGGTGGAGCAACTCGAGAACGCCAAAAGCACGGCCGCTCACATTCAGTACAAGGTGAGGTTATTACACCAAGTTTTGCAACGGTAGCCAAGTGCATGTTCTGTTGTTTTTTTGTCACTCAAGTGTTTTTGAATGTCACACAACGGCAAGCTCCTCATTTTATTGCATGAGCCGCAAATGGTGTGAGTTAGGAACATGTGTAATGAGAGGGATTTGGAGCATGACTGCGAGCCTAATAGCTCATGTTGTGCAATTGGAACACACAGGTGGTGGAGGCCAGAGAGAACGAGACAAAGATCAACGAGGCTCGAGAACTTTACCGCCCAGCAGCTGAGAGAGCCTCACTCCTCTTCTTCATCATCAATGACCTCAGCAAGATTAACCCCATGTACCAGTTTTCTCTCAAGGTGAAACCTTCACCCCTGAATCCTCTCAGGGGACGCATCGTTTTTGAAGCGCTTTCAAACAGTGATCAGTCCTTTCTGACCAAGTTTCCATTAAATGTGTTCATTTTTCTTGATGATTAAGATTTAAGGCATAGCCCTGTCTGTAAAATGTGCTTAAATATATACTTCTATGCCAAAAATGGTAGCTTTTTCTTTAGCTCCTACCAAGTGAGAATCTGTCTAAATACAAAGATTCAAGGCTTTTATTGGTCATACGTACATAGCTACAGTGTAGTTATGTCAATGAAAATCTTAGGTCACAGGCTCCTCCAACAGTGCAACACAATACAACAGGTAAAATAGTGCAAGTAAATATGAATAAAATAGAATATAAATAGTGCAAGGAGAGTCTATATACAAGTAATTGCAATATGATATATTAGATAAATAATGTGTAAGTTGCAAACAGATGAATGTTATGGATGTTCTTTGAAAAGTCCAGGTGTTTAACAGTCTTATGTGGAATGAAATGCTTGTATCTCTTTGGTTGTATTCCAGACCTTTAACTCGGTGTTTAACAAAGCGATGGAGCGTGCAGAATGGGACGAGGATGTGAGGACCAGAGTGCACACCCTGACTGAGGCCATCACCTATTCTGTATTCCTGTACACCAGCCAGGGCCTGTTTGAGAGAGACAAGTTAACCTTCTTGTCACACACTGCCTTCCAGGTGAGGGACTCAGGGCCGCCTCAAAGGTGGGGCGTCCTGTCATTCCCATCAATCAAAGTACTTTTCTGCCCACACATTAACTTCAATTAAAAGCAGTCAGCAGGACCATACGCTGCTATTGATTACCTCTCCCACCTTGCTCCACGGCTGCTGTTCAGACACTGGGTTCTGACAGGGGGTTGGTTCTGATGGCATAATGCAATTATCTGTCATTGCGCCAACTGTTATCATCTTAGAAATGGTGCAGCTCTGAAGGCTGCCCTTCATGTGGCTATTCCACATATAGAAGCCATTTCTCAGCCTCTATGAGTTGGAACACCCACCTGCCAGAGTTTTCTTGCAGTTTTTTTTTTTTTTATTTCGGTGGAAATGATTTAAAAGAAATCAATACAACATGGATCATTACAAACTGCTCCTCTTCCTTCCCCTCAGATGGCTCTCAAGCAGGGCCTGATTGATGCTCAGGAATTTGACTTCCTACTGCGTTTCCATGTGGAAGCGTGCAAAGTTAGTCCCGTGTCCTTCCTCTCTCCACATGCCTGGGGAGCCATTAAGGTACAGTCAATGCCAATAACATGCTTTTATATGTGATGTCACCAGCTTAATGGTCACATTTTCTATTCTTGTTAGCCATCAGTTCATCACTACATACCATTGTATATTTTCTACTTTTAAATGCTGTTTTATTTCTTCTTTGAGATGTTTACATTTTAGAATTGTTCAATTCTACTCTCTTAATTTCTACTTATGTGCAATGCCTTTTTTTTATGCTGCAACGCAAAAATGTCCCTTATCTTATCTTATAGTCTGATTAGAGAGATCTTTAAAATCTGTTATCTGGATATAGACAATTTCTACAATGGAGGGCTTCGTCGGACTGGACAAAGACATGGAGAGCTCCCCGAAGCGTTGGAGGAAGATCGTTGAGTCCAGTTGTCCTGAAAAGGAAAGACTTCCCCATGACTGGAAGAATAAAAGTTCCCTCCAGAAGCTTATTATCTTCAGAGCCCTTCGCCCTGATAGGATCACCTATACACTGAGGTATGTAAATGACCAAAGAACAATTGTATTTATAGGTGTTGTATATCACTAAATCCCTCTAAATGGTTTCCTGGCAGGTCCTTTGTGGAGGAAAGCATGGGAGCAAAATACGTGGACGCTGCCAGGCTGGAGTTTGACAAGCTGTATGAGGAAAGCAGCTCCTCCACCCCGGTGTTCTTCATCCTCTCACCTGGAGTGAATCCCCTCAAAGATGTGGAAAAACTAGGTACTTTTCGCATTGTTTGCTATTTAAACATCCTTGTCACCTGGTAGGGATTATTGTCCTAAATCCCCTTTGTGCGCAGGATTGAAGCTGGGATTCTCCATCGAGCAGGGCACTCTGCACAACGTCTCCCTGGGCCAGGGGCAGGAGGAGGTGGCTGAGAGGGCTCTGGGGAGCGCCTCTAAACTGGGACACTGGGTCATTCTGCAGGTAGGATCCATTATCCAGCAACTAGCTAACTGCAGAGCTCTTCCAGCAAGCCTGTAATGCGCCTAATGATATTATCTCATCCCCTGAGCAAGGAAATAAACTCAATTTGGTTCAATAAAAACCATAATTGGCTAAATCAGCTCCTTAAATGCCTCCTGTAAAAGGGAGAAGGCTGCGGCCAAGTGAGTCCTCCACGAATTTCACACTAATTCAGACCATGGCAGGACAATTTGACCATGACTATTACACAAATGAACCACGAGCATAACTAAACATACATTTATCTGATCTATTATGTCCAATTCTTCAGAATGTGCACCTGGTGGCTCGCTGGCTGCCCTCTCTCGATGCTCTTCTGGAGACAGCAGCGGTGGACAGCCACCAGAACTACAGAGTGTTCATCACCGGAGAACCAGCATCGAGCCCCGAGCATCACGTGATCCCCAGAGGCATCCTGGAGAGCGCCATCAAGATCACCAATGAGCCCCCCACCGGCATGAATGCCAGTTTGCATGCAGCCCTCAACCACTTCAATCAAGTGTGTGGAAACGTTCAAAGCAATGCATTACATTCGATTAAAAGAAATGAGGATTTGAGTTCACTCCAATCTGTTTTTCTTCCTCTCTCTTCTTAGGACACCCTGGATATGTGTTCCAGAGAGCAGGAGTTCAACTCCATGTTCTTCTCCCTCTGCTTCTTCCACGCTTGTGTTACGGAGCGTCGTAAATTTGGTCCCCAGGGGTGGAACCAGAACTACCCTTTCAGCACCGGAGACCTCACCATCTCCGCCAGCGTCCTGTACAACTACTTAGAGGCCAACACTAAAGTATTCTTACCTCCTATTATTAATAATTACTCAACACTTTTTTTTATGTATCCTTTGGTAAAACTTTTAATTTGCTTTTCACAACTACTTTCTTAAGTAAATGTATAATGATTATGGTGTTTGCAGTGGCCTTATTGTCAGACAGGGATGTTGAATTACAGCACAGTGCATCCAATTACTAAATCTTTTGTTCCAGTGTTATCTGTGAAAAAAGCTCAGTCTCTTTTTTCACACTTCTTCCTCTTATGACTATGAACACCAAACCTATAATTTAGCTTTATTTCATGAAGACACAAAATCCATTCTTGGGGTGCTGCACCCCTCAGCACTCCTAATGCATTTATCTTAGAACTCCTATTACTCCGGTCACAACCAATTATGTCTCCTAGGTATTCTGCCCTCCAAAAACGAATGTCCTTCATTATGTTAACCAAACAGTAACCTGTATGTGCGTATACAGAGAATTCATTAGGAGGGCAATGAAGCGTTATCCTAAATGTAATTACATGCAGCCAATGTGACAGTTCACAACGCTACATAAGTGATCACTGCAATTAGAGCTGATGAAGGAAGCAATTTGCAAAACAATACAGGTACAAATGATTGTGAACCTCCAGCTTTTGTAATTTGTTATGAATCACAGGTTCTTTTCTTCCTCCTTCACCCTCACGGATCATAATCTCCCTCTGAGGAAGAGACTCTTCTGTCATACATTAGATCAGAGTGTGTAAAGAAACATCATTTTCTTACATTCCCCCTGGCGCTATCACTATTAAAAGAGCTCATTTGGGAAGACATCATATAGTTACTGTTTGAAGTTCCAAAAGAGGAATGAAGCAATCGGGAATACGTTAATAACCCTTTTTCAGATGATACTAAAATATTATTGTTAGTTGAAGTAATAGTCTTTATTTAACTTGAATTGCCTTTTATTGTATAATACGCTTGTAATTATTGAAATGATACTGCTTATCTTATGTTGGCATTTCCATACGAGTCAGACTATGTTTATTGTAGTCCATGCAGGTGCCTTGGGAGGACTTGTGTTATCTTTTTGGGGAGATCATGTATGGAGGACACATTACCGATGGCTGGGACAGAAGACTGTGTAAGACCTATCTGCAAGAGTTCATGCATCCAAAAATGGTAAGACAGCGTTCATGTCGCCTGCAAAGACAATTTATTATTTTTTTGGTTTTGTTTTATCAAAACTAAGACAATACAAGTACATTCCTCCTGGTTTTGTTGTAACGTTTTCAAGGTCCGAAAACCCCTTGTAAAGTCTGGTCACTTCCAATGTGACTGCTGTTAGAGATTTAAAGGGAAAACTGATCCGCTTTTCAAATCTCTGCGCGTCCCTATCAAGCTGGTTAATACAGGAAGAAATCCAGAGCTACCGAGTAAACAATAATCTATTTTAATGGTAATATGACAATACAATACAATCAATACAGTACAAATTCAATACAGTTAATCTTTGGGATCCCGAATTTACCTGCACGTGAGCCAGCCAGAGGAAAGAGAGTGAACACCGCGTGTGTGTCTGTGTTCATACTCTTTGACAATGGGAGGAGTTATCAGATCCTCCCATTTGGACATCATTGATTGGCAGCCCCAAATATCACCAACACCTTAGACCTTAGGTTTCCCCAATCACTGTAGCTAGATCTAAGTTGAATGCAACTCAAGACATGCTCTCACCTTCCCCCATCTTCCTTTGTCCTCAAAAACACATGTCAACAGGCCCCAAATCCAGCTCACAGTTTTACCCAAATTATTCCCTTTTTAAGCTTATCCATAGTTTGCTAACATGAATAAATACAAATATAACTCTACACTGCCAACAAGTAAAACTCTACAAATCGGTTTTGAATGTCTTGGTGTTGTTAAGGTAAAGGGTGCCCTCTTGGGATGTAAACTTAAACTGCACTTTTGCACTTCTTTGGCATTGCTGGTTATTTTCAATCTCGCTTTAGTGGAGCTACCTCTCTGTGCCAACATGATATTCCAGCTGCTGCATGACACTGGACTATAAACATTATGAGGTCTTTATTCTTTAGCAGAAGTCAAGTTGATTGGCTTCAATTGGAGTTGATTTGATTCTTTCCCATGGTTAGTCAGTTTACCTTAACTTACAGATGCTTTTTTAATGTGATTTGGACAATTTGATGTCATTCAATGTGTTTTGCTGTTTGTGTGGCTGTCTGTCAAAGTGTATTCCCAAACACTCAGGCTTTGTTTTGCAAATGTAATAAATCCAGTTGAAGTGAAATGCCATTGTCACTGTTTATGCTGTGTTATCTTTTTCTTCTCCAAACTTCCATTCACAGTTTGAAGGGGAGCTTTTTCTCTGCCCTGGGTTCCTGTCCCCTCCCTTCATGGACTACAGTAGTTACCACGGTTACATTGACGAACACCTCCCCTCAGAGAACCCCACTCTGTATGGTCTCCATCCGAACGCTGAGCTGGACTGCCTCAGCGTCACCTCAGACGACCTCCTGAGGACCCTAATGGAGCTGCAGCCCCAGGCCTCCTGCAGAGGGGAGGGGTCTGCTCAGAGCACCGAGGAGAAGGTGTGGAGGCGCCGCGATAAAAACACATGAGAATACAATAACCTGCCTTCATAAATAACCTATCTATGTATATTATATTTGTCAGGTCAAGTCTGTCATTGAAGAAATCCTTGAGAAGCTTCCTGAGGAGTATGACATGGCAGAGATCATCACAAAGACCACAAAGAGAAGCCCCTACATTTCAGTGTGCTTCCAGGAGTGTGAACGCATGAATCTCCTGCTAGCAGAAATAAGGAAGTCCCTTCATGAGCTGGATCTTGGTCTCAAGGTGCAGTCTACTGTGACATATAATAAAGAAATGCATTTTTGTATCAGATCCTGAAGCAATAATGAGGATTACTTTGTCCACAGGGAGAACTCACCATCTCCTCCAGCATGGAGACTCTGCAGACAGCTCTGTTCAACGACTCCGTTCCAGAGTCCTGGGCCAGGCTGGCTTACCCCTCCACTAAAACACTGGCACAATGGTAACTGCTCATTTCTCATAATACTGTATTTTTTTAATCAACATGAATATCAGAATCAGACACGGGTTTATTACCAGGTAGGATGACACGTACGAGGAATTTGACTTGGTGTCGTGGTGTATACATAAAAGTAAAAAAATCTATTAAAAAAACACAGATAGAGAATTATTGTAAAAACCCTATAATAACATTTTTTTTTTTTTTTTTTAAATATATATATATAGGAGTAAAATTAAATAAAGCAGTATTTACATTGGAATATAATGAAATAAAATATAAAATATGTGCAGTGGAGTGCAGTGGCTGAGGTATCATTATCATTTATTTTAGCAAAAAATATGTCAAAGCATTGAAAAAACGGTCTTCAAACCTGATATTAGGACGACGCTTGCAGACACATTATAAAGACTTCAAGCTGTTTTATTCCATGTTGTTTAATCTCTATTCTTCACAGGTTTAATGATGTGATGTGTAGCTGTCGAGAGCTGGACAGCTGGACTCAGGACTTGGTTCTTCCTGCCGTCGTTTGGCTCTCCGGTCTCTTCAACCCTCAGTCTTTCCTCACCGGTGAGATCACAATCTCTAATCAAACAGCACACATGATTTAGGTGACATGTTACTCAGAGGCAGCAGAGATATTAACATGAAGACAATTTTCTTCCCAGCTGTGCTGCAGAGCATTGCTCGGAAGAATCAGTGGCCCCTGGACAAGATGACTTTGACTGTGGATGTAACGAAGAAGACGAAAGACGACTTTGGACACCCCCCACGGGAGGGGGCCTACGTTCACGGACTCTTCATGGAAGGTCAGAAATAAGAACAAATCATACCTCAAAAAGTAGAGCTGTCATAATATCAGATTTTCATATACAGTAGATAACAATATAATCCCGACAAGAACATGAACAATAATGTCAGTTATTCATCTTCAACTGTGTTTCTAGTGAGTTTTGTCTCTTTTTCGGTACATTTAATCACTCCTCCATGTGGGGGGGGGGGGGACAGAGTGAGATCAAAAAGCAATGTAAATAGTGAGAAATGCCCTACATTATTAACATGTTATTATCATGTGTATTATAAACATGGTATCAATATTTAAAATGTAAATTATAAATATCATGATCACTATGGACAACCCTTATTCTATCCGTCCTGCTGTTAATAGGATATTATATATTTGTTACATGGACATTTGATCATATTGTGCAACATATTTCTTATTCAAATGTGCGTCTCCTCTTCATTCAAAAGATTCAAAGGTTTTATTGTCAAATGCACAGACGCTACAGTGTGAAACTGGCAATGAAATTCTTCTGACCTGAGCTCCTCCAACAATGCAACATATATAATAAAATAAAAAAATTGTGCAAGAAGTCTATATACATGTAAATAGAATATGGACAAGAACAGAATATGAAATTGAAATAATGTACATTCATCCTGTGTATCGTAGGAGCGCGTTGGGACACTCAGTCTGGAATCATCTCCGAGGCGGTTCTGAGGGATCTGACCCCCGCCATGCCGGTGCTGTATGTCAGAGCGGTGCCTGCGGAGGAGCAGGAGCTGAGGAACACCTACGAGTGTCCCGTGTACCGCACCAGGCAGCGGGGGGCCACGTACGTCTGGACCCTCCACCTGCGCACCAAACAGCCCCCTGCCAGGTGGATCGTAGCGGGGGTGGCACTGCTGCTGTCCGTGTGAGACTAAAGTGAAGCGGGGGCTTGGTACTAGAATACTTACTGACAGTATTATGCAAACAGTTTGAAAGATGTCTCTTTTAAAGGTCCCCTATTATGCTGTTTTTCATCAATATATTATAGGTCTCAGATATATACAAACTAGGGCCGGGACTCGATTAAAAAAATTAATCTAATTAATTAGAGGTTTTGTAATTAATTAATCGAAATTAATCGCATTTTTAATCACATGTAAATATTTGACCTAAGAACAGTGAGAAGCAATTTTTTTCACATGGATTTTAGTATACCATTAGGCGCATTCACACCGCAGTACTTTTCCCACAAAGGTTCATGAGAACTTAGTTCATGAGAACTCTTTGAACCTGGGGGTGGATTAGGCAAATGAAGCCGCTGACGTCACTTCTTCTTCTTCTGCTTTGGGTTTACTGGCAGGCCGCAAACCACTTCACGGCGTATACTGCCGCTGTCAGTACCAGATATGTTCGGGCTACCAGATATGTTCGGGTGTATTTCCGTCGCATCCGTCATCCGTCATATTCGTCATATTTTACGGCAACTCAAGAGGGCCATCACGGTCAAATTCCGAACATTTAAACATAGCCGACACTTCATTCTTTACTTTGTCCGTTATTATATGTAGAAGATTATACTTTTTCTCCGTCATGTTGTTTCCTTAGCGACAACTTCAAACAGGCATAGCCTACACTTCATTCTTTACTTTGTCCGTTATTATATGTAGAAGATATTATTTTTTTCTCCGTCATGTTGTTTCCATAGCAACAACTTCAAACAATAACAACTAACCGCTAGCCGCAAAGCTAGCATCACAGCCACTGCTCCGTTTTCGGAGACTTTGCACACGTTTTCACAAACATTTTCACACGCTAGGAGTACTTCCACTAGCTTCGTCTTGATCTGTAGATGTGATTTGATGTGTCGTGTGTGTCCCAACTCCTCTCCAAAGTTCAGATATTTAATAAAATACTCAGGGGAGTTTCCTGAATTTTCATGCCCAAAACCAAGCACTAGGCCCTGGGTAAATTAAGAGGCTGATCTCGGGCACTTTTGTCCATTTTCCCTGGTGGTCGAAACTCAAGCCAGACATCCCTGGAATCGTCTCAGAGAGTAGATGATCAGTGGGGCCTTGGTTTTACTGAATGATGTGTTTTTTTTATGGGGAATTAAAATATGAGCTTATTTTTAGGATTTTCGGAGACTTTGCACACGTTTTCACAAACATTTTCACGCTAGTATATAGAGTATGGGAGTACTTCCATTCGCTTCGCCTTGATCTGTAGATGTGATTTGATGTGTCGTGTGTCTCCCAACTCCTCTCCAAAGTTCAGATACTATATAAAAATACTAAAAGGTAAATAAAACATTAAACATGACAACATAACAACCTGAAATATATGTATTCCATCTACACATTTCGTAATTATGTAATCTAGTGGCCTTAAAAAAGTGTTGGCTAAAGTAACGCAGAATATGTATATTTTTTAATTGTAAATAATTAGAAACATTATTTATGTGCACAAGTACATGGGATCCCATCATAGCACGCCACACATAACAAGCTGTCCCGAGTTCCTCCAGCTGCAGTTCCACAGACGGCCGGTGTGTGGCAGCAGAGCGCTGGGAGCAGAGGGAGGTGAGTATATGACGGATATGACGGATGACGGATGCGACGGAAATACACCCGAACATATCTGGTAGCCCGAACATATCTGGTACTGACACCGCCCAAAGTCCCCGGCCGGAAGTCCCCGGAGTTGGGGACTGGCTTCAGTAGAAGCTGCTGGGAGTCCCAGCAGTCTTCCGAGTAAATCGCCAGAACGCCGACACCTCCTCATCTCCACCGCTCCCATGTTTTATTTTGTGTTGCCATAAGTTAGTCTCTCTGCGTTTCTGCGCTGGGCTAATGCTAATAATGCTAATACGAAAATAATAAAATGGCGGCTTCACAAAACTTTTTGGGAGTTTTACGGGGCGTGGTTTGCAATCCGCCAAGCCAATCAGAAATATAGCTCTTTTCTCACAAGAGAGCCGTACGAAAGTCCCTGCTCTCTAGCAGGGACTTTCGTGGGGGTAAAAAGGTTATCATGAACTAATTTTAGTACCGGCTCTTTTTGGTGTGAACGCGATAAAATAGGCTAACGTCCACGCTAGCTGCTATATGTTTTGCATTGAGGTGATACTTGAGGCTTGATATGCGAATTCCTTTTTGCATAATTTGCACACAACCGTGCTCTTATCGACGCTTCTATCCGTCCGTTTTTTAAAACAACATTTCCCACTGTTGTTCACTGTGGTTTGTTGTTGTCTGAAGTCATGAACGTTAGTTGGTGCTCCAGTATAATCGGTACACCTGAAACTCATCGAGTGAGAAACGTTCCGCGGTGCAAAAATAAGTGCGATTAAAATGCGTTAATTTTTTTAACGCGTTAATTTTTGTGTAATTAATTAATCTTAATTAACGCGTTAAAGTCCCGGCCCTAATACAAACATGTCTCTGAAGTGTTTGGCTGAAATACCAAACAGATCCTGCATTGTAGAATCCCACAAATTCTACAATGCAGGGGGCGGGGGTTACCTTGGTTGGTGATTGGCTAATGGTTACACAACCAAAACATTGTTATGACATCATAAAGTGGCCAAAATCTGATCATTTTCGGACAGGTTTTTATTAGGGCTGTCAAGTTAACGCGTTAACGCAAAAATAAAATTATTATTATTATTTTAACGCGATTAACGCATGTGTATTTGTTGTCCTCGGCCGCCCCGTAGTTTCAGAGAGCATCATTCAAATACATTCTACAAGCTGATGCTGACAGCCCCGCTCCTGCTGCCCGCTTGTGGCAGACCACACTTCCACGCTCACCGGCAGGCACCGACTGGCTGTTGGGAGGACCGGGAGGGTGTGTGTATGTGTGGCGCGAGCGAGGCATACCTTACGTGTATTGCTGTTGTTAGCATCTGGTGCTAGCAAGCTGCGCTAACGGATATAAGGAGCTGTTTCAATGAAAACAGAGGAGCGACATTTCGCCGAGCACTTGACTTTATGCAGGAAGCCAGACAGTGGGACATTGTACGAAAAGTCAGCACACTCAGCAGGGATAGTGCGCAACATGATTGCAGCGTCCAGGCAGCTCCCGTTCGAGCATATGCCTTGAGTTGCACATAGCTCCAACGATCCATCAGTGTCTCCACACACACACACACACACACACACACCCCCCCACACACACACACACACACACACACTATTGTATGATAGGTTCCAGGTTGAATTGAGGCGAATATTTGTAATGTTCAGAGGTTGTTGTGGTTAATATTCATGAGAATATTTGTCATTGTTCAAATGATAATAAACACACATATAAAGCATATTTGTCCACTCATATGTTTATAAGAGTATTAAAAACTGGAAAAATATTCCTCTAAGGTACACTTAGAACAGATAAAAAATGTGCGATTAATTTGCGATTAATCGCGATTAACTATTTTAATCGACTGACAGCCCTAGTTTTTATATAAATGGATCAGGACAAAAAGAGAGAGAATCTTTTTTCCTGAAACTTTCAGAATCTCTTTACACAGAGGGGATGCATGTTTATGTATAAAAGACATGAAAAAGTGGATTTGCATAATAAATAGTTAAACTTTAAGCTTTTCTCCATTGCGACCGAATTGTGTTAATGTTGCTTTTTGTCATGTTCTTTTTAATAATGACTACTGCAATAGACACTTTTAATCATGCTTTAATATTGCTTGTATCCAATTTGGTTTATATGACACAATCCTGACATTGTAGTGTATGAAAGCGTGTGTGTTAGAGATGGTGAGATAGTGGAAATAAAGAGGGCGATGCGTGTTGAGCCGGTGGTGAACCTGTTGTGTGAGACCTCTCCCCTGAGGGGGCTCGGTCTGCACATGATTTGTTGGGAGCTTATGTCTCCATTTGAGACCATGTAATTCGGGATAGGGAGCATATTTTATTGGAAGGTCAAGATTAAAAAAGCTCTCTGGCTGCCCTCTACTAACTGAATGATACACAATACCGTCTGGAGGGTTCCCGGACAGAATTCCCAGGAGATTATGTGCATGGTCGCTATTGACTTTTAAATGAGGTGCATTTGACATTGACCTTTTGTACGGCAGAGGCAGAATACTAACAGACGAGTGTAATTCATTCAGCCGGGCCTGTTGGAGGAACCTATTCAAAGACACTGATAGCTTTCTATGAGAAAGCCACACATTAGATTACCCACCCTTTATCTGTCTGCACTCTCTGTTAGCATCTGATCAACCAAATAGGAACCAAATCTTTAACTGAGTTTAAAGAAAGACTTATCTCAAATGTTATCTCTTTTAAACTGATTTAATTGAGGGTAATTGAAAACGGAGAAGATTAAAGTTTAACCGTGATTATGCATGCGTACTGAAGGAGATGTGCATTATTCATATGGTCTTAAGTCCTGTGTATGTCAGAGATATGGTAAAACCTTGTGGGAGATCCAGGGTCAAGGTTAAGATCATATAGGACGCAGTGAGAAAAAACACATTTGGAAGGAGGGAGAATTTTGTGCGACCATAAAAAGTAGATTCAGTGTAACTACACATTCAATAATGTTACATTTATTTATACAAAACAAGCATTTCGACTCCATTTTGCAACATTCATTATTCCTACCATTTGTAAACACTATGTCAGAGACTCCATGATATTAGCGGAAATTTGCTCAGGAAGACACTGGGCAGGTGCAATATTTATCTACTAAGATAAACATGTGACATATGATGTACAAATTACAGCCATTCGTTTTTTTTTGTTTCTTTTTGGATATAAATCAGCACCCCTATCTTCTCAAATGAGACTTTCTCCAGCGCTAATAACGGCTGTGATGCTCTTAATTTCTCTGTGGCTGCAGACAGTCAGTGGAGGATGGATCCTGTGCATTGTATCGCTCGGGGGGAAATGAAGAACCAGTCTTCCTGTAGTTTCTCTTCATCTGCCCTCTCTTCCTCTCATTAGCACGCCACAGCAGCTAGCGAGTCATTTGGTGACAGGGAAATGATACAGTGCTGGCAGTGTTTGGGAGGAAATGGCAGGGTGCGGGCCCCCGGCGCAGCGGGGGTCGAGCCACAGATAGTCATGTTAAAGGCCAAGTAGGACACCTGGTTAAAGGCAGCGAGGGCATCGGGGTCGCACCTCCGCCTTGTACCGTTTTATTGCCCAAAAGAAATGATCCAAGATCCAACATTTGAAGTATTTTTAAAAATCACTAATTGGAGAAACTTATTTAATGACAGTACAGGAAATGTTTACCCACATAATGAAAAAGTTACAAATATGACCAAAATCAGTGGTTGTTATAAACAGTGTGGTCCCCACTTAATAATATTTTAAATGGTCAGAGCATAATTAACCCACTAGGGGGCCCCATGGTAAAGATGAGCTATGGGCCCCTTTTGATCAACTATCATGTTTTCCACTTTCACTAAAGTATGAGAAGAGGTAGGAAGTAACTAAGTACATTTACTCAAGTACAATTTTGAGATACTTGTAGTTTATTTGAGTATTTCCATGTTATGCTCCTTTCTACTTTTACCCCATTACAATTCAGACATAAATCGTGTACTTTTGCTCCAGTACATTTGATTAATACCTATACAGATTTGGATTAATGATGTGAAATATATCAACCCTTAAATCAGACTGTGGTTCCACCTGGAGTACATTCACAATCTACCCTGCAGTATACAAAGTCATTAAAACTAGCTGCACCTTTATCAGCTTTGATAACACTTTATTGCATCAATAATTATAGTCAAAACATAAAATATTATTCTGAAAATGGGTGAATCTGCATAATGAGTACTTTTACTTTTGGTACTTTTGAGTTAATTTTGATGCTAATACTTTTGTACTTGTACTTCAGTAATATTTTTGATTGCAGGACTTTTACTTGTAACAGAGAATTCCTACCCTCTGGTACTTTTACTACAAGGTAGTATTTCTTCCACCTCTGAGTATGAGTGATGGGTTTGTTGTAACTTAATTCATTTATTCATTAAGCACAATTAATTAATTAAGCACAACATTATGTATTATAATGTTCCGTGTTATATATCCAATGTATATATTTTTTAAGATATTTAAGTTATATTTGAATGGTGCATATATGTGCACAAAGTGTAGAGTACTCCAGCAGCCACAGAGAGGCAGTGAAGACTCAGGTGGAGTGCAGGTGAACTCATTTAAGGTTTAAAGAATAAAATATAGGAACCGTTGAAGAGAAGGAAATATTTGAATATAATCTGTGGCACGCTTAACAACTATGCCTATGTATTTATGAACGCTTTCTGCCAGTGTATCTGTGCACATAGCATATGTAATGACCCTTCTTTTCATGGGGTCATCACACAATCAGCTGTTTGTGGTTTCCTAGATGCACTTTGTATCATGACCTTGCTATGATTTACTTCTGACATTTACTTTTTACATTTTATGTATGTATTAATCAGAGCATTGCTAGAGTAAGAGTTAGAAAGTGCTTTGTGCCTGTTTGAGTGTCACCACCTTATTCATGTCGATATATATCTTTCAAAAATAACCAGTCATGATGAGGAAAAATATTTTATTGCATGCACAGTTCACAATGGTGGTCCCTCCATGGCTTACCATATCACGCAGACCAGCCTTTAAACGGTGCGTACAAAAAACACAAAATCAAACCAAAGAAGTTGAAGTCATATCTATAGAACAAATAAATAATTCTGAAATAAATAAATATCTGTATCCAGAATTGCAAAATATATACAGTACAAATAAAATCAAACTAATGATGATACAAATTAAATTCAAAGTAAGATACTGCTAACCCAATTGTCTCTCAATTTTAACTGTGGGCTTTAAAATCCAACAATTAAAATACTATTTCAAGATTTAAAAAAATGCCACTTCACAACGCCTACTTAAAACGGCCTAACTTCAGGACGAAAGAGAATTTTCAGGTGACCGATCTAGAGAATAAATAGCGTACAGTATCTTCTAAAACTACACATTGTACAAGTGTATACTGTAGTCTTACTACACAATGTACAGGAGTATACAGTAGTATTACTACACATTGTACAGGAGTAGACAGTAGTATTACTACACATTGTATATGTTTACAGTAGTTTTACTACACACTGTACATAAGCAAATGGCTTCTATTTTCTACTGTTTTTGTCCAGAAGGTGCTGTAGTATTTGTTTTGCTATAGAGTGGTGCAGAGCCATATAATAGAAGGTGCAGTGACGAGTCCTAAAACCCGGAAGTGAGTCAGCATTTTACCCAATGATTTTACCACTTCCGGTTCCCTCGTCTCAGAATCAATGGGATTTCTCCATAGGATTTTGGAAAATAGCTGGAAATAAGGTCTGTGGTTGACACAAATTTAAGAGACGGATCACGTTTTGTTCTCCGACATTAAATACATCAGCAGTGACCCCACTGGTGATTTTTGAAGAGTGTACGTGTCTGAAAAACGATGGTTGTTAACAAGTGGCTGAATAGGACTATGGAAGTTGTCGAGGACGTTGTACGTCATCATTACACCGAACACTCCCGCTAAGTTTGTTTGCTCTGGTCTGCTTGAAAGCAAGTACCTGCGCTCTTGCAAACTGTTAAAACAAAAGCTTCAACTTGTACAATTTTGAGTCTGTATTTTTGAATATCGATCTTAAGTTGGCGTGACGTTGAAGTCATGCGACCCTGCTGTACTCGGCTGTAGGCTAGTTCGTTTATAACATAACGTTAGCATTTTGCTTCTGGCGATTAGATTTATGATTAGAACATTATAAAAGTAGGGTGGACATGTGGATATTATCCGGCTGAATAAAACGTGCGTTTATCTAACAGGTTCGTTTTCCACAGATCTTATTTCGAGCTATTTTCCAAAATCCAGCCCACTCTCTTCAGTCTGCGTACAAATGACACGACTTTTGTAAAGGCGTGCAATAGATACGCTGAAGTCCGATTTTGCGTGCATACGATACTCCCACGTTACGTTGTTATGAACATTACATGCGTTTATTTTCTATATCTTTCATTTATTTAACCAAACCCAATAAGCTGCTGTGTCGTTTATTACACCGCAAACATTAAAACTGTCATTGGAACGGCGATCAAGCCTGAAGCCACAGTGCTCTTTGTTTTAATGTTTGAGGTGCAATATCAGCGTATCATATCCACGCAAAATTGGACTTATTGCACGCCTTTGCAAAGTCGTGTCATTTGTACGCAGACTGTGAGACCGGGTTGGCCAAAATCCTATGGAGAAATCCCATTGCTTTTTTGTCAAGGGAACCCATGCGCAGCTTATTTCCGGGTAAATACGTCATCCCTGCACCACTCTATTGCTCTTTACTTCACTGACAGTTAACCCCAGAAACACAAGGAAACGTATTTATCCCTTACAATTTCCAACCTTACATCTACTGAGGATAAATGAGATATTGTAAGCTGCAGCTCTGTAGCATTTGATGAAAACAAAAAACTTTGTGTTGTGGTTTGTCTTTAATGTTTCTTAAAGATTGTTGCTGAGCTTTTCAAATGCTAATCTCTTTGTACCATACAGCTAGAGCGGATATCTCAACACCTCAACAAATCAAACACTGTCTGGGTTGCAATGTGCACTATGTTGTGTTTTAACCTGAACTTTAAAGACCAATACGGACACGTGTCAGTATGAATCTGCTGCTTCATTTATAACTGATTGTCCACAGCTCATCTAAATGGAGAGCCTTATGCAATTAGCATCACTTTAAACAGGCGTTTTAATGGTATTTAGCAATAACATACTGTACGTGATTATGTCTCACAGACAGGACACAAAGCTTTTCCCACATCAGAGAAATACATTTTGTATTATCTAATTCAATGTTCTAAAACCATCTGAGTTGCCCCATCTCATACACTCTGATTCAACGATAAAAAATATATGTTAAGGGAATTCTGTAAAAATACATAATGAAAATAATATATGAAAATGTTAAATATTTAACAATCATTTTCCCTAAATCTGTCCTCTTGATTCAGCTTGTTGTACATACAGTGTACTGATTCATTACTGATGCATGTCCTGCATCTGGCAAAGAGAACATCTGGATCCTGTGTGTGTACAATATTGGACTGAGATACTCTTTGGTTGTCTCGGATAAAACAAACTGTCGCTGCCAGATCTTTAAATGGTGAAAAATACAAAAAGATGTCCAGTGTCATGAGTGAACCTGCATCTCAATCACTACTGATGTGATTTATGTGGTTAAAAGGCTACTAAGTGGACCTTAAGTGAAACTCAACACCTTTTGTTAGCACCTTCATGTTCTGTGTTTTTTTTAGCAGTTGGGAAGCACTTCCATCTTCAAACGTGCTGTTATTGCAGCCTGCTGCTTCTCCACTAGGGGGAGCTGTTGTATCATTCTGAGAACAGCTCGGCCAACTTGTGACTGTAAGAACTAAAGTAATAGCAGCAGGTTTGGTTTCGACACATGGATCAAGACCTACAGATGTCTTCCAGGCAGTTTGGTTGAAGTAGATCTGCTGGCTGTGCAGCTGGACCTGCTTTCAGGCGTTTTGAATCACTGACACTTATGGATCTAATGCAAACACGTGTGCATTTAACCTAATATGCTTCTGTTTCTGCTTAGTCCCATCTGTGGTGTCACCCTCCTGACTGAGCGGCCTCTGATTGCTGACTGAGTCCTGAGAGATAGATGAGACGGCGATAAATCGTTCCTTGGCAATCAGACAGTGTGGCTGACACAGTGGGGGGTGCAGTGAGAGCTGCTCTCTAAGCACGGGGCTCCAGCCTGTGAGACAGTTCAAACAGAGTCTGCTGATTGTCGATGATATGCAGGTCGTCGATGTACGCTCGCACTTCTGTGCTGCTCTTCTGGGTGATGCCGTTACCTGGAGGGACAGGAAATGGTTTAGCTCCAAGCCAGGGCCGCATTTAAACATAATGTCATAGTATTGATGGCCTGGGAACAAATTGCATCAAATTCTGTGAAAGGGCCATTGGAACCAACTTTTATTTCCCCTTATGACATGTTGTGGATCATAAATGCTGCCCAAATTATATTTAAATCAAAATGTGATGATTGTGAACATCATGGTACATTTATTTGATTTGAACTATATGAGGACAGTTTATTTCAAAGCTAACAGATGTTGTCCACAGATTTGCCTTTAAAAGAATGAATCTACAACATAGATTTGTAATAGTTACAAAGTAAACGTCAAAAACATTGTTAGATTTCACACCCTAAAATGAGGAATGAGTGATGAGAATACTGACCCATGGGATCTTTCTGACACTGCCGGATGAGTCGTACTGTCTCTGCGATCATGTGCTGGAAATAAGATAAACACCGCTCCGTTAGACATTACAAATTCAGCACTGCCTGATGTTTTCTTTGCAGGAACATGAAGTGCTATGAAGGGTTTGTGAACTCACCAGCTTTTCAAAATTAACCAGGTTATCATGAAACGTCTTGTTGCCTTCGTGAATGAACGTAATATCTAAAAAAGGAAAGTCTTTTGTTAGTTTTCATCAACAGGTATTTGATGTGAAATGTCTGTTTGTTTCTACATGTCAAACCTGCCTGATGGAGATACTTCACAGAGCTCTCCTCTCAGAGGCGTGTGTAATAATGTGACAGAATAATAAGCGTACCTTTCAGTAGCAGAGGAGGGAAGGGGATCTTTGGAGCCTTCATCTTCTTGAAGGAGTCCCTGTAGGCCTTGTGGTTCAGCGAGGGATCCTGAAGACATTTTCAAAACGAATGAGTGTAATCCTCTGGGGAGGAGTGAGTGTGCCTGTGCATGCATGCTTTGTTATCTGAGATATGGCAGCACAAGTGACTAATGATCATCTAAAACACCTGCTGTTCTGAAATGAAAAAACATCTGTTTGTTTTACCTCATACACACTGAAGCACAGGGTTGTATTCCCTAGTGCAGTGAATAAATATCAATGTTTATTCCTTTCAAAATAGATGTATACAGTGTAGTGTCACACAGAGTACCACAAACTACACTTACTGTAACTGTCTCCATTTCTGTAAACAGCTTTTTGAATTTGCCAGGCATCTTCTGTAGAGAAAATAACATGATTTGTGTTCAGACGTTCTTCTCATAAAAGCTGGCACAGATGAAAAAAGAAGTAAAAGGCACATCTTTACCTCCCATGTCTGACTGAGGCGGCTAACAGCTGCAGTGGTCAGGCCCATTATAATGGCGAAGAAACAGTTGAGGTTCCTCTGTGCTTTACAGCTATAAAAGATCAATGGAGCACACAATTCAGTGTCCTGCAGAGCAACCAAAGCCAATGCAGTTCATTGATCTGCCACAGGAGGGGGCAGCATCCCCATGCAAGGCTTAGAGAAGGGAAATGGCCAACAGTGTGTGTGACTCACAATCAATAAGTCTTGCAGAAGGATGTGAGAACAGCTACTTACTGAGCAGCGATCTTGATGAACTTCTTGATGAGTTGGACCCGTTTGCAGAGCGTTGGGCACAGCAGCACCTCGGTCATCACCCACAGCTGGACCTCATTGCAGCGCTGCAGCAGCAGCTCCAGCGCCACCGTGTGGCTGCTGCTGCTGTGGCGACTGAAGGTGAAATACACCAGTTCTTGCTGTAAAGGAACAACATCATGAGGCAGAGCAAGCCACGGTTGAGACACCAGTGTCACAGCGATATTTATCTCATTTTGTTTCATATCAATTTGATCAAGAAATGTTTCCACAACAGGTTAAATGTAATAAAGGACATGTTATGTAAGCAATTGAATTGAATTAGACCTTTAGCAACAAAAAATAAGCTTTTGAAATGTAGCTAGTTCTGTCACATGTGTTAGTCTTGGACATGTTGTTATGGAAACACAAAATCAAATGACCTGGCCCATGACCCACCAGACTGTTCAGTGTGTGTCACTTAGGGACTTCATGAGATAAAATAAAGGTTAAAGCTGTATAAGGAACTTTCCAGAACATTTAAATGTCATGTGATACCTGTGTCACGGTGGGTCGTTATGGGTTAAAAGGCAGCAATTCAGGCACGAGTATTCAAGTTGTGGGACAAACCTCGTGTATTGAGGCAAAGATGGTCCAGTCAAAGTTGGTGAGAGCGACCGCCACGTCCCACGTGTTTAAACTGAGCATGCGTGCCGTCCTCTGTTGGAGCTCTGAGTTGTCAGTGAACGGGTTCTGAGGGGGGGAAACATCCAACAATATCAGGCAATGGAGTCTTGAAGCTTCTAACCTCTGCACATTATGTCATTTGCTGCTTCTGAGCTGATGTATGAATGTGTATAAATTAGCTCCACAGATTTTGTACAGTATGTCTAAGTCATAGTATTTGGGGAATCATTTGCTTAGGTATTTAACCTTTGACACAGTTCATTGTTTTCTCCTTTCACAGTCTCTTTCCCCATGGCATAGGTCTACGGCCTTGGGTATTGCTGCCATCTCTCTTAAGGAGGGGCAGCTTGGGCGCATCTTTGTTGCCAGTTTATGACCGAGAACAAGCCGCAATGAGATAGTTTATGTTCAGGGACATCTAGAGGCCCTTCTTTTCTGGTTTGGCAACCGCTGTGTCACCTCGTGGCGGCAGCACCTGTCTTGTCAAATTCTCCGGCCGTAACTCCATAATAAACCATCAGTGTTTGCCTCTCCCTGTGTCCCTCTGAGTTTCGTCTCCATTGCTTCAAAGTGACATTCTTACCAGGACTTCACCCAGGTCCTTCCTGCACACATGCAGCCTCCCCACCGGCCGTAGTGAATCAGAGAAGACTCTGTCCTGAGGCTGCAGCAGGAGCCTCCCTGCAGGGGACAGACGTATCACAAAGAGCAGAACACCATTCAAAATCTGTCAGGCAGTGGCGAGAGATAAGAGTCACTGTGTCAGAATACACTCTGAGGGGGCCAGCCACTTCAGTCACTGATAACAGAAACTGATCTTATGATACTGTACTGTAAGAATTATTTCTTTTAACTGTTGTCATAGGGAAGACATCAATGCCAGCTCGATTAACTACAATCTCACATCTCTAGATTCAATATAGGAATAAAAACTCAAGCATGAATTATTTTGAAAATCTTTTGTAATACCACAAATTTGTCTTAAGAAACATTTACTTATAGTCAACTCCAATAAGATATGTAATAACAAGGATTTTTAGAATGACCTAATTGTATCTATTTTGTACTGAATTGTACACTGATGGTAATTATTGCTGGAAACTATATGTGTATAAACATTGAAAACAATGTTGACATATGCAAATTCTCCCTTCCTGATCAGATTGACACCGTTGTGTAAGTTAGTGTATATAAAGCATTGTAATGGCCATAGTAAGTGTGTGTTGTGCAATATGCTGGTTGGTTAGAATAGTATTTACCCCCATTGTAAGTGACAGCCACCAGCACCAGTCCCCCGAGTGGGACGTCCATCCTCTCTGCCACGGCCTGAAGCAGCTCCTGGGCCACCACCCCGCCGTGGGCCCTCATACTCAGGAACGAGTCCATGGTGATATACACGTGACACAGCACTGTAACAGAGAGAACATTTCAGAAAGACTGTAAAACCTAAAAGCATACTGCATTCATCAAAGAGGAAGAGTCATTTGTGTTGATTTGGACTCAGCATTACTAAATCAGGCTAATGGTCCTTTTTAAATGTAGTGTTGTTCACAGTATTTTTGCTACACATGGCCTCTTTGGTAACGCATTTCCTCTTGGGGTTACAGTTATGTATGAGCAATTTGTTTTAAATTTAAGGCGTTTATAGATGTTGTGTTAGCTGAGATTCTGATTGTGTGACTGTAAAAGCTTTACAAGGCTAAACTCCTGGCTGGCAGTTCACTAAAAGAAACAGAAACACAATAGTTACACATCAAATCCATCTCAAAGCAACCAATATTCCATCACAGTTTCATTATATATTTAGGCATCAACTCATAATCAGATGCTGCAGTAATACTAAATGGCATCAGGTTTTCTAAATAATAACATTTTGAAACTAGATTATGACACAAGACTTCCTTATAATGCAGAAACATCTTAAAGATATATATTTTAAACAATTTAGCAGGACACCTTCAGCAAGAAAGAAATTACAATTAATTAAGTCACCTTCTGCCGTCAGGAAGGAAAGGATCTAACAGGGCTGCCTCTTATTGATAAGGTGACCTTTAGCAAAGCACCGACTCCACTGCTCCAGTGTAACCACTCAACTGGAGAGGGCTGGCATTACTAGGATGGACCAAGCATACTCAATAGATTTATCTTGATGAAGGAAAAGGGTCAGTGGGGACAATTTCTTTGGTCGAAAGCAGTTTAAATGTTTTTAAAGAGAAACCTCTAAGAAAGATAATTCATCAGCAGATAAAGTCAAACTGTCTGCATGGCTAGATTGTATTAAAAAGGGACCGTTTCTTTATTTTATTTGGGTGAACCTGGCATTTAAAATAAGCAAATTACAACGATAATACAAAAGAAACTCACAAGTCATCAGTCAGGAATTTCATTTCAGAAACTTCTTGTCCCTTTCTTGGAAAGCATCTATTGTTCTACTGTTCAGTCTAAATGTCTTGACAGATTTGGAATCAACGTATGCTGGGAAGAATGTGTGAAGAAACACCGTGTTTTACGACTTACCTTCCTTGTTCTCCCTCTGTGTTCCTCTGGACTGGAGCCTGTTCTCTTTTAGGCTCGATTGGTGGAAAAGTGCTTTGCTCTAAAAAGAAAGGAAATCCGTGGATGCAGTCATGCAGTCATATTGCCTGGGAACACTGCGGGCATTTAGCTAGAACTATAAAACAATGTGTAAAGCAGGAAATGGAACGACAATAGCTCCAACACCCTATCGAGTATGAATGGTCGGCCTGCTTTCTTTAATACAATGATTTCAGTCTTAAATGTGTCGTAAAGAGGTGTCATGAGTTATTTTCACTCACCTTTCTTTGAGGGGAATAGTTATCCACCGTACTGGAAAATAAAGACAAATAAATCAGTAAAATAACTATTTTTGTCCTGTTTTATAGAAGTACAACAACACCACTTCACCAGTCTTTAATCAAGGTAAAATGAATGTAGCTACACATATACTCATTTGCAGTGTTCAGTCCATTATTCAAGATGAGTGTCAACATGAGATTAGATTGCTTTGTAGATTGTAGACCTTCCCTTGTGATCCCTTCGTTTAATCACCTTACAGTATTGTCATCAGTCAGACCCGACTAGCAAGATGGATAGGCCCGTAACCATTAGCATCCCTCTGCTTTCACTGGGCTCAGCATCACAATAGGCATGTTGGCACAAAGCCTGCCCTGAGGGATCCCCCCTCTCCGGCTAGCAGCAGGCCTGCACTAATGAAAAACCTGATTCCCACTGAATTGTCAAAACAGAGCTTGTGATCAAATTGACTCTTTTGCTACTCAAAAAAAAGTGAGCTCTGTGAAATATACCATCACAGAACGAGAGAGAACAACCTGAGCTTTCAGAAATGTGATTTTAGCTTCACACAAAGGCCTGATAGAAGTTTCTGCGATCAAAGTGCTGAATGAATCTTCTTTCCATAAAAAAATACACCTTTTTCGCTTGGGAGCAGATTGTCACAAAGCAGAGATCCTAGCCCTCCCCCGGAGTGAGTCTGATTGTCAAAAGCTCATAAATAGTAGATTATGTCAGTTGCTAAAACCCTCACAAAGTCCCTTCTTTAAAGGAGTGGGTGTTGAGAATCCCCCTGCATATAAACATGAATAAAGTAGGCGCAGAGTCAGGGTGATTATCTGTGCTGTTCTAATGGGCGGAAGGTCGGAGCATCCCCCAGGGAGGAGATCTGATTGGAGGCTGTGGCTGAGGGAGGGGAAGGGGGACACGGGTGTGGCAATGTGTCTGCTGACAGGGGGTTGTTTACACTGAAACATGTCAAAGAGAAATGTGATGTCTATTGTTATTAAATTCTAATTAAAAAAACAGCTTGACTTTAACAAACGAAAAACAGAATCAATATTCAAGTACACATGCATGTTTAAGATTCACTGACTAAGTGTGTGGCTTTGTTGTACTGAGAGAAGGGTCGATGTAATAAGCTACTGTAGGGCTTCAGCTTACACGTTTGTGGTGATTGCTATTATCTCTTTGACACAGATTTATTATTTTGTGGTTGTGTAAACGCTTGAGTACAATTGTATGTACTGGTTAAAAAACACTAAATCCGAGGGATCAATGACACAATTGGTGTCAAAATGTGTTGTGTGGTTAGATCGTACAATTCTTTCTCCTCATGATATAGCAAGCAAAACCTATACTCAGTGTATTTGCCGATATTGAGCCTTTTTTTTCAGTATTGAAAATATCTATACTGTGCCGCAGGGAACTTATTGTAATCCTTTTTATACAAGGAGACATGAGGCCAGGGTTTGCCAGCTGTCAGAACAAAAATAACGTTAATGATGAGGATGTTTTAAGTTGTGTTCGCATTTGATCAGTGCAGTAGGTATTTTACATGTATATGAATTTGGGGTTGTATAGCTAAAATGGTGTCCAGTTAATGAGTAGTTGAACATCCTTCTTTTCATTGCAAGTGACACATTTCAAGGAGCATGTCATTCATTCTCAAAATGTCTGTATTTCCTCAATTTTAGAGATTAATGACAAAGAGCCCTGTGACCTTCATATTTCTGTGCATAACAACCCAGAACATTGAAATGAGTCTCCAGCCTCTGAATGCATTCATTGACGAGAGGCTAAATAAAGGCACCAAGCAGAGAAGCAGCTCTTTCTTTGCACTCAGAGACCAGCGAGTGGCTCTGCTTCTTTTCAGACCTCCAACAGTCATAACCACAGTTTTAACACACCCAGACCAGATATCAATAAATGTATCAGTTTTTCCATTTTATAGATTACTTACACAAAGTGATTTTGCCCCAACACTATAGGACACACTACCTTTAGATATCAGGAAAGCTCTCTTCACTTTAGCTTTTAAATAGTTATAACTTTTCTGATACTTTTCTGGACTGTGACTTTGGGTTGTGCCTGACACAGATCAGACACACAGTGAGGTTGCAGCATAGGGAATACATTGAGATGCAAAATGCTTAATTCGATGTTATCACAACCGATGGTGAGTCTGTGTGGGTTGGGAAAAGTAGGTTCTGTTGTGTTTATTTATAGCCTTAGGGTAGAGAGCGCACTTGAGGCGAAAATGCCGCAAAATACTTTCTGAGATTTCGTCTTAAAAATGCAAATCTCTGCCATTGATGTAACAAAGAAAAGATAAGAACACAGTAGAAGAGAAAGGAGCTCTTTTGATGGTGCTGGAAGGTTTATTGATAGGTGCATGATTCACATATCAGTACTGCATTTAGACTTTTGATATGCGCTCTATGTATTCTATTTCATCTTTTTAATATATGTTGTTGTTATATTATAAAGTGGGTCTTATTTTCCATCTCCTTTGCATTGATTATATTATGGTCATTCTACCCTTGTTGTTTTATTCATTCTGTCTAATTTATCCCATTTAAAAGCAATTTTTTCTGCGATTCCTTTATCAAATGTGCTACTGTACAGTTACTACAGTATGCGATGATCTTTGCTTAGTATGTATGGAATCACCCTGTGTCTCATGACCTAAAATATGAAAGAAGGTTATCATAAGGTCACTCACTGTGTGCGGTGCAGCTGGTACAGTTTCTGCAGTTCCCTCACATCCTTGTCCAGAGATGGATGCTCATAGAGATCATCCAACACGTAACGATACAAAGTCTGGAAGGAAATGTCAATTTTCATTTCTCCAATATTAACACACCCAGTTTCCATCCTTTTCCTTTCTGAACATTATATTTCCTACCTTCATGAACAGCTTGACATGCTCGTCGTCCCTCAGGAAGTCTCTGCAGAGGGCCATCCACTGCGACACCAGGTGAAGGACTTTCTGTTTCCTCTCCACAGCCTCCTTCCTGTCCTCCTTCCCTCTGTGGCGCTTGGTGCAATAGGTGGGATTCAGTTAAGGCTTCAGCACAGATGGAGAGTGAGATCTATTTGCTGGTCAAATGCAGTGTGTGTGTGTGTGTGTGTGTGTGTGTGTGTGTGTGTGTGTGTGTGTGTGTGTGTGTGTGTGTGTGTGTGTGTGTGTGTGTGTGTGTGTGTGTGTGTGTGTGTGTGTGTGTGTGTGTGTGTGTGTGTGTGTGTGTGTGTGTGTGTGTGTGTGTGTGTGTGTGTGACAGGCAGCGGAGTGTGAACACAGCTGAGTGTAGTGGAGTAGCTTTGACTCAATAAAGCAGTCGTGTTTTTGTATCAAACACCTACGTCTGCCTTTAGCATTCACACAAGAGGGTTATTATGTGTCGATATTTGTAATAATGTTTCTGTAATGCGCGTGTTTTTAAGGATATTGTCCCAGCAGAGCTTGACATAAATCACTGGTTGACATGAACACTGGGTAGGTCAGCAGAAAATCATCCAGTAGTGTATCTGTAAGGAGAAACACGTTATTGACAATTGACAAAAAATTCCAGGTTCATGAACATTTTGTAAAGAAATATATACGATTATATGTGATATCAAATATATGACTTGTATGGTAATTGGGATATGATTCACAATATCGAAGGGAATGATCATTTTTGCATCAATATTCATGTTTTTATTCAGCCTTATTTTCTAATAATATAACTTGATTTATAGATATATATTGAATAAATCCAACACACACAAAGCCTCTTTAGGTTTGTGAGAGGATGCTGGTGGGCAAATACACCAGTGACCTTGACAACTGTATGATTAATGTTCGCACATGTCTGTACTTTTAATTGAGCTGAGTGACTTTGCACCAGTTATTCCTATTCCATTTCACTAATACTAGAAGTAGAGCTCCCTTTTTGCAGTCAAATACCAGTTAACAAGCACTAAGCAGAGCCATTTCAGAGGCGAGGATAATGTGAGAGACTTTTGAATGGCACATTATTCAAGTGGCCAGTCTTAAATAATTGCATGTGCTGAAACCACTAAGGATTCCTCTGTTCCATTTTTTGGCCAACAAGTTCAAACAAGCCTTACTGGCCTTATCTTCAATCTCATACATTCGTCATTGCAAGCTGTATCAGAAAAGATAAGCCAATAATGTGCCAGTTGACTCTCTTCGACCTCTAATGAAGTGTACAGTATGTTTTCTTTCTGACTATCTTGCAACCAGAAAAAAAAAAGCATCCGATATTGCTTGACCATTATCCTAATGTGTTTACAAGCAACCACTTATGAGCTTCTTCTCAAGGTTACACAAGTGTTTCTGTAAAAGGATTACATCAAAGCAGGCCAAGTAGACCACCAGCTCCCCTTAAATAACATGAAATGCATTCATAGTTTACATCATCAAAACACTTAATTTGTTTAACCTTGATAAACAAAGACAGAATCCCAGAATCTCTTAATAAAATGAAATAAGTTGGCATTATAAGAAGCTGTAAAAATGAATTTCATAAATTGCAAAAACACTCAAAGTCAAGGCGTAAATTCAAAGACTAAGTCCAAGACATGATGCCGACCACAAGCAAAACAGCTTTGCAAATCCTATTAAGACCAACGTCCCCTCAACCCTTGTGTAAGTGTGCCTCATATCCAGAATTGTATATTCTCCCCTTTAATTTCACACTGGCTTCCCAGGGCCTTTGTGTACGTTCTGGTCCACAGGACTCGCTGACATTATTATGCTAATCCGCGCAGAGCAGCTGTGGATGCTTCACTCAATGCTTATGAGAGGTTACACACTCATACATATGTAGCTCCCATAAAGAATACAGTAACCCACCTTAACACAAAAGCCAGAAAAACAACATGCAAAAGATCAGCCATCCAACCACACACACACACAACCCACACATTACATTTGAGTTGTAACAAATAATTATGAATGCTAGGACAGTGTCTTACATTAAAGGTCCCCTATTATAGTGTTTTTCATCAATTTATTATAGGTCTCAGATATATACAAAACATGCCTCTGAAGTGTTTGGCTCCAAATACCAAACAGATCATTGTAGCATCCCATAATCCCCTCTGTTTCAGTCCTGTTTCAAAAGTGCTGATTCTCTGTCTGTTATATTCAGATGAAAATAAGGAGCCACTCCCCACGCCCCTCTGAGAGATATTTGGTTAAAAAGAACACACTGGTGCTCTGGAGATGCAGGTGATAAGGTTGGGGGGTGTTACCTTGGTTGGTGATTGGCTAATGGTTACACAAGCCAAAAAATCGTTATGACATCACTAAGTGGCCAAAATCTGATCAGCTCATTTTCATACAGGTTTTTATATAAATGGATCAGGACAAAAAGAGAGAGAATCTTTTTTCCTGAAACTTCCAGAATGTCTTTAAACAGAGGGGACGCATGTTTGTGTATAAAAGACATGAAAACGTGGATTTTACATAATAGGTCCCTTTAAATATGAATTACATTGAATTTATTTGGCGCAGTTTGCAGATCTTTTATCTAAATTCAGCTTTTAAACAAGTGCATTTGACAGCGGCTCAGCTAAAGATTGCATATCTTAGTATAACAAAAAACTGATTTGTGCTTGAACGCAAACACATATTACACAAAGACACAATCATTGTATGAACACTAGATAGCACTATCTTCAGTGGAAAGAGGCATAATATTAGAATGGCGTTGTAGCCACTTTAGTAAACGTTATAATGTTATCTCAGCAGATACACTTTAACCCGAGAGGCCCACACTGATTGTTATCAAAAAAGTCTTCCGTCCACACGCAACAGAAACGTGTCCGTTCACACGAGACCGCTCGAAAGCGCTGGAGACGCTGTAGTACATATGCCAGACCTGTAAGTGGCGCTGTAGTCCTGCCACAGAAGCAGTGAAGAAGACTTCCCGCGCATGGTTGCCATTCTGTTTATTCTCCGCTGTTGACGCTCTGGCTCTTTTTCTCCCTCCCCGAGGCAAGCGTTTGCTCCTGCTGTAAATCTCTCCGGTAGTCCACCAGCAGATGAAAAACACCCACCTCTCCACCTCTTCCAAGGGACGAGGGGACCGTGCAGCAGAGTTTCATTTAGATTTGTTTTCGCCAGTCAACATGTCCGTTAAAGTTTAAATCTTCCGGACAAAATTAGAAAAGTGCCGGTCAAAGGTCTTCTTTGTTATTTATTGAGCTTTAAAACAAATGAACAACGACTCTATATAATAATATAAGAATAAAAAACGGAGCCTCTCTTTTCCTCCCCCTCTTCTGACAGCCCAGCAGCTGATCTGTGGAGAAGGTCCTCGCCGCGGAATGGGGCGGGGTCGGATAAAAGGCGGGGTTGGATGTCCGACCCCGCCTTGTGAGTCCACATTACACATCAGTAGATGGCGGTAATGCGCCCGGAGCTGGTAGTGAAGTTGCATACCTTTTCCAATAGTATCCCCTTCTGTTTATAATCTTTTCTGGACTGAAATAACAACTGTCTTACATGGCATCAAAGTGTTCTCGGCAAACAGCTATGTCGTTCACACTTGGTTTATACCTATGTTGCAGAATCCTGAACAGCATCTCCCGGTACCTACTTATGCGTATTATCATTATTATATTTTCTGGAATCATATGAGAATCACTGAATGTAAACTATTCATTTTACCATCTCTCACAAGGATAAAGCAGACGATTTCCGGTGGATTCTGGTGTGGCGCCCAGGGCATTGGACAATATGTGTCAGTAGGCGCTTTCACACTGCGGTACTTTTCCCACAAAGGTTCATGTGAACTTAGTTCATGAGAACTCTTTAGTTCTCATGAACTAAGTACAGATCGCGTTCACACTGGAAAAAGTCCCTGGGGGTGGATTAGGCAAATGAAGCCGCTGACGTCACTTGTTCTTCTTCTGCTTTGGGTTTACTGGCAGGCCGCAAACCACTTCACGGCGTATACTGCCGCCCAAAGTCCCCGGCCGGAAGTCCCCGGAGTTAGGGACTGGCTTCAGTAGAAGCTGCTGGGACTCCCAGCAGCTTCTACTGAAGCCTTCCGAGTAAATCGCCAGAACGCCGACACCTCCTCATCTCCACCACTCCCATGTTTTATTTTGTGTTGCCATAAGTTAGTCTCTCTGCGTTTCTGCGCTGGGTTAATGCTAATGCTAATAATGCTAATGCGAGGATAATAAAATGGCGGCTTCACAAAACTTTTTGGGAGTTTTACGGGGCGTGGTTTGCAATCCTTCCAGCCAATCATAAATGTAGCTCTTTTCTCACAAAAGAGCCGTTCGAAAGTCCCTGCTCTCTAGCAGGGACTTTCGAGGGGGTAAAAAGGTTCACATGAACTAATTTTAGTACCGGCTCTTTTTGGTGTGAACGCGATAAAAGAGTTCACATGAACTAAGTTCACATGAACCTTTGTGGGAAAAGTACCGCGGTGTGAAAGCGCCTAGTGATATGAATTTACTTATCTGTATTTCAAGCTAAACACAAAATATTACTAATTTCATCAATAAAGTATAACATCTTCTTATACTGTTACTGTAATTTCAAAATTAAGATAAGTATTTCAGCTCAAATTTTGTAATTGTGTGTTCTATTTGCTAACTATTTTGTAGATAATGAAGCCACAAGAAAGGGAGATCTTTTTTTTAGATTCCCTAAATGGCACAGGCTTCCGTGATGAAAGCCAAATGGAAACATTGAGGTTTTTAAGCACAGAAATTATGTTCAGTTTTACATTTAAAAGATGACCTCAAGCATAAATTGACATGTTATTGAACAAAAGATTGGACTGAAACTGAGCATAAGACATTTAAAATGGGAATGTTCTGTTACCACCCATTTATAAGCTTTCTTTTCTGTTTGTTTCCTTAAAATCAAGCTCTTGGCCAACCTGTTCGGCATTATTCCACTGTTGGTGGTTCTGCAGTTCTGCAGTGTTCAAAAGTTGGTGGTTCCACCAGTTTGACAATATTAAACCAGTTATATGTTCCAGTTTTCAATTTTCTTGAATGTCCTTGTCTAAACAGCTGTGTGTTAACCCCCATTAGACAAGTTGCTCTGCTTGTGTCACCTGGACCCTGGAGAGAATTCTGTGCAAACGACATTCAAGTTAGTAATTATGATGCACACTAATTGAGTTTGATTCCTGGATTCCTACACTGTGTGTGTGTGTGTGTGTGTGTGTGTGTGTGTGTGTGTGTGTGTGTGTGTGTGTGTGTGTGTGTGTGTGTGTGTGTGTGTGTGTGTGTGTGTGTGTGTGTGTGTGTGTGTGTGTGTGTGTGTGTATATAATGTATATAATCTCACCTTCTTCATGAAATAGGGCATACCAAGACAACGGGCCTCCAACAACTGTGGGGTGTTTGTGCTCATGGTATGGCTCATCTGATGAATTTATCAATCTTTTCTTTACAGTTTTGCAATTAGTGTGTAATGTTTTTTTTACTCTTGAACAACAATAAACCAGTTATGTTTGTTAACAATTCCCATATCACTTGTTGTCACTGATAGATTTGAAGGCAGAAGATCAACCAAAAGACGACTGGAGAGGGAAGACTGCGAAGAGAGTCCCAGGGTAAGTAATCATGATTACCCACCCAAAAGAAGTAAAGTCGTAAAGGAAATGGCATTCTGCAGCGACTTTGGATGGGTATGTAGACTGTAATTTACTACTTAAAATCTCCATGGATGTGCTCCACAGCCATACAGTTTGTTGCTTCCACCTCTTATTCAAGGGGGCAATGTGTCATGATGCAAGTACAACTGTTTTACCATGCAGTAGTAATTGCTTTTATCTGGTGTCTTCCAGAAAAAGGACCCACTGGCAAAGACGGCTGCAGAAGAAATTCTTGTCAGCTCTGAAGAGGAGGATGGAGTATGTGATATGCTATCTGTTATACCTTACATGAAATTCACAGCACTTCCTTCTGTTCTTTTGCAGCGACTGGTAGAAAATGGCTGAAAATATTTTGTACCACTGATTTAGATAGTGTTGCATGTGCAAGTTTGTGTGCGTCATAATTACACATTCAAAGCATCTTGTTGCAAATCAGCAGCAGCACTATAAGATTAGTAAATGTACAGTGTAGTAGCAATGCATAAACTATTTCTCTTCTTCCTGTAGGAGAAGCACCCCTTTATAAGTAGTGCTATGGCGGCATCTCAGTGGTGCTCTGCAAAGAAAATGGGAGATAAAGTCATCCTGCCACAAATTCTTTCCATGGCCCCACTGGACAGAGAAGCAGCTCTCCATAACCTTGGTGAAGCCAGCAACCTGCGGGACGAAGACAGCTGGGAAGACAGGATGGACCCATTTATGTTCAGGTTCAAATTTGAGTCGGACTATTTAATGTTTTTTGAGCAGTGCATTGATAAAGAAAACCTTAAGGTTCATGCCTGTTTTGAAGAGCGAGGTTGAATGTTTGCATCAGCAAAGCCTTTCACTGTTGTATAGATTTTTTTTTTATATACTTGGTTTGGTTTTTATATTTACTGTATTTGCTTTTTCGGTTCTGTTATCTTAATGATTGTTCTGTTATATGATAAATGTTGTAAATAATAAATGCTTTTTCTATCTTTCTATGAAATGCAGTGCAATGTATCATTTGAAATATATGGACTAGATATGAGTATGCACAGAACTGACTAAATGAATAATCAATTAAAACAAATATTAAATAATGAACTTAAATACACTAATATAGAAAATATGACTTTTTATACCACATTGCACATGTGGTATAAAAAGGTATATTTAAATACATTCATGCATTTAATTAGTATGACGTTTTTATATTTAGTTTTTAAATTATATTTAGTCGAGTGCAGATTTGTATTTGTACTTCTTGTAGTTGTCCAGCAGATGATGCTGTTTGTCTCATTAGGATATCCATACACCCCGCCCATCGGACGTCCAGCCCCGCCCACATCTGACCACGCCCCATTCCGCGTGCTGCAGTCAGGGCCTATAGGATCTCTGAGCAGGAGAGGTGGGGAGAAGCGGGGCTTGCTTCAACGTTATCAGGAAATTATTGTATGGGCGTAAACACAGAGCCGTTTGCCCCCCCGGAGCGTTTCGTTTGCAGATCTACCCACCTATACCTCATTCACACCAACGGTGTTTCGGGGCCGGTTCGGAGCTGGAGCTTGAAAAGCACCGGGTTTTCCTCTTCACACCGCAGCGGAGCAGCCTCTTAGCTCCGGAATCCGGTTCATTTCAAGCACCAAAAAAATTGTCCGGCCAGAACAAAAGCACCACATACGTCACGCTTACGTCGAGGCGGGGGCGGGGGCAGGGGCGGGATCAACTCCTGAACAACAACAAGAAGCCCGCGTTTTATCCAGCTTGTACACAACGATGGAGAAACTTAACAAACAGCAGTGGTCCACTGAAGAGACCAGCTACCTACTGGGAATCTGGTCTTCCGAAGAGGTACAGAGGAAGCTGGAGCACAATCGGCCATTGTTGTTGTTGTCGGTGTCAGCTGTGAGGGGTTTCCGCGCGGTTTGGCTTTATGAAGCAGGCACGCAAACGGTTACGTCATGACGCAAACGATGACGCAATGACGCAGCACCAGTCGGACTCTGGGCGGTGTGAAAAGAGCCTCCGCTAAACCGAAGAACCGGTTCTGAACCTGAAAAGCTCTAGCACGGAGCTTGAACCGGAGTTGCGTTGGTGTGAATGAGGTACTAGAGACCTGTTATCGTTATCGTTTTCTGCGTTTCCATGTCGGCCTCGTGTGGCCGAACCGTCCATCAGATAGACTCTATCTGATAGTGAACTGTAGGAGATACGACCGTGGCCTTCCTCAGGCAACGGAAGAAGTGACGCCTGTAGCCCTCTCATAACACACACACACACATTTGTGTATTTTCTTCAAGCTATCTAGACTGAAACACTTTACATACCACTCCCCAGGCTGAACACTGCAAGTTTTTTGAAGTTGGAAAAACAGAATAAATATTTAATCTCACATCCTAGTCATATTCTCACAGCAGAAAAATCAGGGGATTTCCCGAGGAGTATTTTCAATCCAAACAGTTTGGCAGAAGATGTGTTGACCCAAAACATTTATGCATGAATTGTGCAGTATAAATAACATGTAATGGTCTGTTTGGCTGATTTGTAACCACTAAACATCTCTCCATTTTTGTTTCAGTTAGCATCAGTTGGGGATGTAGAGACATCTGAATCCTATTCCTCACTGCTGTTTAGAAGTCTGTACTAGTTCATATATAACACAGAATCATGCTTCTACTCAAGCAAAAATACATTTAGTATAATTTTCCAAAGAATTGCAAAATGGACTCATTGATTTAGCTTGCCAATCTCCTGTAAAATCAATCAAACTGTCAATCTACCTGCCAATCTTTTTCGCATTACAATAAGTGCTCGTAAAATTCTTCATCGCATCCTTTGAAATAAGCATGTTAATGTGTCACTTAATGGCCCAGTCAGCACCAGAAGACATCCGATTGATGTAAAAGCCTTAAATCTTAATGATAGTCTGCATCTAGAAATGCTAATATTATACCCGCTCATTTAATGCAATGTTTTCTTCCCTAAAACAATTAAATAAAGCATCAACATCTCTGCGCACGGTGCAGCAGTAAAAGAGCTGGCATATCCTCTCATTAAACACACAAATATGTTATTCAGAGCTGGCACTGTGTAGATTCTGTGCTCAGCAAGAATCAATAGCTTCACTGAGAGGTTGGGCACAGAGAAGAAGGAAACACTGGATGCTACCCACAATGCTAGCCCACATAGGCTACACAGTGTGTAGCCTACTGAGGTTTGCTTCTCCTCAAACATGCCTGTGGTGCTTCCAGAAAAGTGCCTTCTCCTGCAGAAACCTCGCCTGCATTGTGTGTTAATGGTGAGTACAAAGCTGAGCATGTGCTACCATGATGAGCTGAAATTGGCTTTCTAATGTGCTTTACAGCATGTAAGTCATAAACAACATCAATAACCTGCTGCAGCCATCAGTCATGTTGCTGCATGCTCTCTCTGGAGATGCCCAAACACGATAGCTTTGTAGATGTTGAAATAAATCTCTTTTTGATTAAATCAAGGATCTCATGGTATCTAGGTCTGGTGCGCTGAATCTCCAAGGGCACAGGTAGCAGTAGCACTAGAGCATACAGAGCTTCAGTATTACCAGAGAGAGAGAGAGAGAAAGAGCCAAGGCCAGCACGAAGTCAGACTATTAAACCTCACTGAGTGCAGATCAATTGCTGTTCAGTACTCAGTTCATTCCTTCTCCTCCTCAGGTCTCCTGCTCTTTGACCCTGGGATATCGCTCAGCTTCCTGCCCTGGTCAGCAGCTCCCCATGGATTCTTCATTTGAATACACTTTCTGCAATGTGAGCTAATGGTGAATGATTCATCAACTACACACTACCTGCTGGACACAAAGCTTACAGTGAAGATGCGTACTACATTAAAAAAGGGAGTTCTTACCGCCCTGCCCGCTCATTTACTTGCATGTCTTACTTTATATTAAGGCTGCATATAACAATTACTTTCATCATCAAATACTCTAACCATTATTTTCTAAATGAATCGACTGGTCTACAAAGTAGTTTCAAGTCCATCCTAGTTTCTGAAAGCGGAATGTGATGCGTTTAATGTCTTGTTCTGCCGGTTCAAAAGCAACAGATATCCACTTTAATATGATATAAAACAAAGAAAAGCAGGATAACCCAATATTTAGGAGGCTGAAAACTGCATTTTATGCAATTCTTTGGCATGAAAACTAAAATAATTTGTTAAAATGATTTTCTGTCGATTGCATAACTGATTAGTGAGCAAGTCTTTGCATCTCTACTGTATATCAGTATAAAAGACTGAATTATAGCGATAAAAATGCAATTCAACATATACTGTAACATAAATCTCCTTTGCATCTAAAATGCACAGTCCTCCAGCTGCAGGCCTTTCTCCCCAGAGGACATTTAGATCAATTTCATTCACTTCCTCATCAGAATGAGTAATGATCTCTGGTACTGGGTTAGGCTGCCTCAATCTCGGTAAGAGATCATCAGTGACCATTTTCAATAAAAAATATTTTTCTTCCCTCCTCGTTCCCCCTTTTCTCCAACATACATGTTTCTCCCTTCCCTTTAGTGTTTTTTTTCCTCTGCTAGTCCTACTGTGGTGCGACTCTCAATCATAATTTCTCCTCTGACAATCTTTCCAGCTCAATCAGCTGAGTCTCCTCTGCCTTGGCAACAGTCACATTATCATGTACCTGCTGGGATGAGAGGAAATGTGTTCATTTGTCGCCGCTGTGAGGCTCGACTGCATTTCAGTCTGATTCGGCATTACTCAAAGGATATGAGCAACGTTTATCTCTGTTATAGGCTTTTAAATGGCTTAAACTTGCCATTCTGGGACTGATAGCACATGATTAACCCAGTGTTATTGCCCTGAGGGGGCTGCTGTCCCAGCTCCTCTGCGAGAGAGAGGGATGAAGAGGGGAGAGCGTGAAACGGAAAGTCATGCATGTCTTTTCTCTTCGATATGTCTAACAAACAGAAATATCATTGGACCTGGGGAAACGCATACATTTAACAATGATACAGTATAATCAAAAAGTTGTCGAACCACTCCTTTTTTTTTTTTTTTCTGCTCTCTAAAAAACAAGAAGAAATGTGACTAAACACAGTAAGGACAACAATAATGAGAAAAAGGACTTGCATGCTCACCTGACTCTTTGCCCTGGGATGTCCCCTGGTCTTCTTCTAATGTCAGGTCATTCAGCAAGTGCTCCAGGATCTTCTCTGGGGTCCCTGAGACCACCACGAACCTGTCAGACACAACAGAGTCAGTGGAAGAGTCCTCGTCGATGGAAGACAGAGAGCGGCTGCTGCTCCATTCCTCCTCTCCCTCCGTCCCCTCATCGTCTATGTATCGGAAGTAGGGGACGTCAAATGTGGGCATTGTCAGCGGCTCTGCCCGGCTGGTGCTGTCGTTGCTGCTCTCCTCAGAACCTTCCTCATCCTCCTCGTCCTCCTCCTGCTCGACCAGGGCAGCGTGCAGCAGCCTGCCCTCCTCCTGCCGCAGGTTCGGGGGCTGCGGCCGAGATCCCATCCTTGCCGAGTCCCGGTGCCCTCACACAGGCAATGTTGCAGTGGTTACTGCTGCGTGCCCCTTTCACCCATCCATCCATCCACCTGCAGCTGCCACAGCCCGGAGTCCAGTGCTGTGTGATCCTTCAAACACTCTGAGGTATCCCGGTGTGTTCACGGCTGGAAAAGCTCCTGGATGACTTTGAATGGGAGGCAGCCAGCGGAGCTCTGCCTCACAGTCCCATGCTGCTCACTTATACAGATTTAATATAGTCATTTATGTGTTGGGAGTTGTGATGTAAGCATGCCTGTGTGAGTGAGTGTGTGATCCACAGAGACGGAGAGAGAGACTGATGAGAGGGAGAGTGGTGAGGGAGAGAAACAGATAGTGAGAGAGGGAGGGAGGGAGGGGACTGGAGAGGCTTACCTCCTGTTCCTCGCCTCCTCTCTCCCCCCTCCCCTCGCCGATGCAGAGAGGGTTGGCTGCTCTGACGATATTCTCTGGAGAACCAGCACATCGCGGCCCCTCTCCCTCAGACACACGCGGACTGCCTCGTCACTCTGGGGCTGGTCAGAGAGAGAAGAGGTGAGGGAGTGTGTTATCACCAAGGAGATTCCCCTGTTTTTCTCCCACTCACACAAATCACCACTGATTTCCATCATAATACTCTGTCAAAGCCCTGCACTGTAAATGAAAGAGAATTTCCATAAATCATTATTCAATCCTTATCGGCGGAGCCCATTCAGGGATTTACATAAAAGACTCGCACACATTTTAATTACAAATACCAAAAGCCTATTAAATCATGGGTGGTGTCCAGAGACAATCTGTTTCCAGCTGTCAAAGGGTTAAACTCTGGTACCACTGGTGTAGAGCAGGGCAGCAACTACCGATTGTTTTCATTATTGATTCATCTGCAGATGTTTTCAATTAATTAATTATTGCTGAGTCTTGGAAACGTACAAAAATGGACAGCATATAACATAGCCTGTTATGTTTTCAGCGTGTTGTTTTATATAACCAAAAGTCAAAATAACCAAAAATGTTTAGTTTAGAAAATAATGATGAATAAGGAAAAAATATGATTTGACCATGAAAATGATTGTCAATTATGTTTCTGTCAGTCGACTCATCCATTAATCCGAGTATAGTTTGAGTTTAAGAGGTGAGTTTCAACAGTTGGTCTTGAACCACCATGCTGTGCAATAAATGATAAATTCATCATCATCATGTTGCCAACCGTCTCCCACCCTCTGTTTCACACTGTCACTTTCTTTCTCTGTTAGTCACACAATGTCCCCTAATCATAATGGTTGTTTGATATGTTGATGCAACACTGGTTACCCTAGACTTTAACTAATATTTCAACATACTCCTTTAAATATAACTTTCTTTAAGCACACAATTAGAAAGATTGTTTTTGCAGCATCCTTGAAGTATAGAGATGGCTGGTACTGTAGCTGCTTGACAGTCGAGGGTCTCGATCAGAGATATTGGTCTTAATGAGGAGTTCACTGTATGGTGCACGCACATGCATCCTTCCTCAGCTAACCCCCCCCTTCACCCCCACTCTCTTTGGCCATCAGTCAATGCAACACAAGCCTCTGTGCATGCAATTAGCCGGGCAGACAGACTGAAAGTGGTTGCAGTTTTCTGCCCTAATTGACTTTTGCAGAGAAGCACACAGGACCCTTTAGCCAAGCATGACTTCCCGGCACATTAACACTTATCTGGGATCTGTGGACATGCATATATAAATACATAGACAGACAAATGCATTGACAAAACATGCACACAAACAACTATAATTTCTTAACTGTGTACATCACTGAGTAGACCAATTTTTAACATTAATATTATAGTCCCCCAGTGGCCTCTTTAAACAGAAGAGAGGTTTTCAAAGCCTCAGGAAGAACCATTTATGTAAATATGTGCCGGCAGTTTTTTAAGTGCTGTGATTTATGATGTGAGTTTAAATCTCTGCTAATGTGACAACTTATGAATTCAATTCAATTAATGTTATGTTAACTTAATATGAGATGCACTTGTGAAAGTACTTTCATGCACTGATAGGAGTATCCTGTGTATCCTTGCCAAAGGCGGTAATGTGCTGACACAGGATCAGTATGATGTAAGGTTAGGGGCATGACGGAAATCACAAAACTAGAACATTCCCAGAAAGGAAAGCCTTCGCTGATTAGCTTCCTGGTTCTTTGGAAAACACATTGGTGGTTTTATCTTTATCGCGATGTGACGTTCACAGTGTGTTCTTATAGCTTCATCAAAGGCCGCTGTGTTTGTCTGACTAAGTGCGACATCAAAGCAAGCTGAATTATTTCCTATAATTAACAGCAGTGTCTCGGTGTACTGTTTACGGGTCAAACAGCAAACAAACCTTTCCTGACAATGAATTATTGATCAGGCCTCCGCTGCAGACCACTGCTCAGTCGGAACTAGGCTTTGTGGTTACCAGTGTCCCAGCAAAAAAACATAATCAGGCTTCTAGAGTGGATGCTTATAATGAGATAAAGTGCCAGGCTACAGCGTTCTCACATTAGCCTGGAGGTGACCTCGACTCACATTCACCACCAAAGTCTTCCCAACATGGACACCGTCAGCTGAAGAGTAAACACTACTTATCAGGCCTCTGCACAAAGTCATGTCCCGCCAAACGGTTTGTCTCTTTCAGGGTTCCAGATGGCTGGAGGGAAAGTTTCTGTCTGCACGTCTCAATGCTGCTGCGGCACGTCTAGCACGCATGGTATGGAACACTTAAAGGGAACTGGAAGGCATCAGTTCAGACAGGGCGCAGATTTGTACAAAATTCGACTCAAGGAATAGCGTGGATCACACAGAATGGGAATATGAGGAGGACAAAAGATTCATACATCAGCGTTGTTTTCAAAGGAGCCTTTGATGCAGATGCACTTCATTATCATCATGATGATGAATTGGAAATGGGAGACCCTGATGTAAACAAGACGAAAGTCTTTCTCTGGTCTGCATCCCCTTAACAATTGTATGTTTTGAGCTGTACTGTACTGTACCCAATATACAAGCTGTTAATAAACTTTTCAATCAATCAATCAATCAATCTCCAATTATAATTAGCAGAAATTCCTGTGTTTAGCTTTGATAAAATATTGTAAACAATTGTATGTCCATGTTATGTAAAATATGCAAACATAAGCTTTTTAAGGCTTCATGAATGGAAGAGTAGCTATATGTTCTAATCATATGGATAAAGCAAAGAAAAGTAATGTTATGTTGGGTGTAGTGCTGCGTACCGGTACGCCGAACCGGTACTGGAATTGTAAAAAGTTTCGGTTAAAACCGGAACGTCGGGAACCGGTACTTGGACTCGCAAAAAAAACTAGCACTTACGTATATTCTGGTGTCTGTGGTTATTTAAACATTCCCTGATAAACGTTATTCAGCCTCAATAAATGAGTGCTAATCCCAGTGTGCTCAGTGTACAACATCACATGTCATTTCACCTTCGATTCACGGTTTGAAAACGTAGCATTTCGCCACATGCTAATGCTAACCGGAAGTGAAGAATTTTCAGAATAAAAGTATTAAGTTAATAGTGTGACCTTCCGGTTTTTTTCAGAATAAAACTGATTTAAATTAAATAGTGTATTTAATTCAAAATTACGCCATATCAACATTGATTTTAATTTCTAAAAGTATGTATGTACATCACTATGTATGTAGTATACACTGTATAATGTACACATGTAGAGTTGTAGAAAATACATGGTGTACAGACAGTACAGTACACTGACTGTACAGTCAGTCACTACAGTGTAGCCTATACTGTATAGTAGGTGTGTAACAGACAGTGTAATGCGTATAGTCTACTCTAAACTCTACCTTTCAGCAACGTTTTAGGGATTTAGGCTCAGTCAGCTCAGGGACTGTTTGGTTACTTTAGTTTGGTAAATGAAATAAATGTTTGAACTTTGTAGTAGTTCACTGTAGTTGCTGTCATAAGTCATTTGTAGACTAAGTGGCAAAAAGTGTTTTTTTTACATTTGTACTTTGTAGAGAAATGTAGACACAAGTTGGAAGGGAGCACAATAAACCTGATGAGTTTGAATTTGAGTTGATTATGAGTTCATTTTCAATTGATAATTAGCTCACAATAAGTTTTAGTTACTCACACAACTTGACACAAGCCATGGGTTCAGGTCCGGACTTATAAATCCGGACCTGAACCTGAACCTCTGGACTTGAGTCCGGACCTGAACCTGAATGTGAGTCCAGGTATGCAGCACTAGTTGGGTGTAAGAAAAATGCGCAACAGATGATCACGCACAACTCCAGTAACTACCCCTGAATAATTGAATACAGTGGTAATTTAATATGAGAAAAGAACAAGTGATTCCTAAAGTCAAAACTGGTATCTTTAACATTTAAACCCAACGGGATTTTGCAGCAAAATTAATAATGAATGTTCATGTTCTTTTTTCATATTTAAGGACATAGCGTAACAATCATGATGTTCCTGCGCCCAGAATCTCTCACACATTTTAACAGTTGTGCAGTCTACCGTATATTAAGCATCCCTCTTTCCACCAGCTGGGATTAACTGACTTCTAAGCTCTTTAAGGTCTGGGTTTAGATATTTATATGAGTCACATGCATTGTAGCATCATTGGATTACTTTAAACCATTTTATAATCTAGAAACACCAGGATATACTCTCACATCATCTAAATATTTCTATTTGATGTCAAGTATTAAAAGTCAGCTTATCTGGCCATTACCACTAACATTACATAAGTGACTCATACATGTCATTGGTGTACTGCTTTGTATTCACAGTATGAAAAACTTGGCACAATACATGTTTCTAAAACAAAAAAGGTAAATCAGATTGTTGCATTATGTAGCACTAGCATTTGATCATATGCAGATTGGCAGTGTCTACTATAAGTCTAAACAAAAGGTTGCTATATGCAATAAGAACATTGATAAGAAGATCTAGCCTTGTGGAAAGGTCAGAGACCCAATGTACTGGAATCCACCCTAAATCCACACAATGTCTTGGCATGGTGGTCTGGCAACTTGCGTCAACTTTTCCTGCCATTGTTGCTCAGTTCAGCACACAGACACAGCTGGCAGGAAGGGAGAAGCTGAGCCCACCCTGAGGTCAGCCAATCACAAGTGTCCTAGGCAGCCAACTGGCAGGTGATGTAATGTTTTTTTAAACTGTGCAGGCTGAACTGAACATTCAGTACCTGAACTTACGTTTTCAAGGATGCTGCCATACTGATAGAGACAAATTGCACTCTGAAAGTATGTAAAGTGTCTGTAATGACAGTGCAACTGTGAAAGGCCAAGCCAATGTTGAATTGAATGGATACAGTGCATCTGGTAAGTCAATTGTATGCATATGAACACAATCTACTATGCAATATTCTGTAATGAAGTATTCTATATACAGTTTATTGCAGTAGTCTGCAGTAGACTTTTTTTTGGTATATTCATTTGAATAAAGGATTTTTGTAGTCTGGAGAGAATCTTAATGACAACATACATCTTCAGAGAAAGCAGAGACACTATAGGAATGTATGGAGGCCAATAAAAACAGACAACAAATTAAAAGTGGTTTGATGGATGGAACACTGCAGGGAGTGTGAGAAACAATGCTTGGGAATGGGATGCTCACAGAACAGCAGCATAAACACCACACTAAGTAAAAAAGGGATGATGTCACGGAATATTTAAGGATGAAGCATGCTAATTCAGTGTTAATAATGACATGAAGAGGACTAAGAAGATAAGCAGTTTGTCAGATTTTTCTCACGGTAACAAAGCCAAAGATAGCTATACATGAGAAAGGTACATTCTGAATGCAGCAGGATTGTTGTGTATCTCACCTCACTTGTCCTCTCCGGGCCCTTGCTGTGGTTCTGCAGGAAGCGGCAGCCATCCTTGGCCAGTCTCTGGACCATCTCCAGTCGGGACAGATCCTCCTTATCATGCAGGATACACATGCTCCCCGGCTGCAGTGCAGGGGATGCGGAGAACATGTACTTCAGGCCACAGTCCCACGACATCGCCGGCGACCTACTACAGGCTGCACACCAGAGAAAAAAACAGTAGGGCTCCTGTCTCTGAGCTCTAACTACTCTGAAAAATAGTAGAGTGTAGAGCCAAAAAATGTGTGTATTTATGTTTCTGTGTATGCTGTCCAGGTGAGTTCTAATGTCATTGCAGCCAAAGTCAATCCCGGTCGCTGTAGCTGAGAGGCACACGCAGAAAAGGTATCCAGGTATCTCTCTGTGCTTGGCTTCACTAAATGACAGATCCCCTCTCTCTGTCCTTCCCTTGTTTTTCACTGCTGGGGAGGGGAGTGAGTTATGAACACAGTGGACTCAGGAAACATCTGGTGAGCTGGACTGCCCAAAAAAGGAAGTTTCACAATCTCACGAAAGCAAAGGGGAGAGTGTAGATTCAGGATTGGGCAGGGAGGGACATTACATTGGAAGGTCAAACACTTGTTAGGGTGGAGACGTATGACGTGTGAGGAGGTTTTAGGTCACTCAGGCACAAGCACTAAAACAATACATTACTGTTCTGTTTTCAGTCTTTAAAATGTCAGAAAAAGTGTCCATTAAAGGCTCCCAAATATCAAGGCATGTCAAAGTCAACTTTAATGTCAATCTTTCAGTTTGTGTGTACAAACAGAGAGATCAAAATAACGTTTCTAACAATCCCGAATACAACAATTGTATTACACTGCTTATATCTTCCAGAAATACGAACCCAGACTAATTTATTAATTAGGTCAACCCACCACAGTTAAATGTCACATTTAAAAAGGTGGAACCAAATTATTCTTGATGTTAAAAAATTGATTAATTCCCTAATCAAATAGCTGCTGTTTCCTTTAGCTGATCAACTAACCAATTCATTGAAACTCTATTTCAGCAGAATAACACAGCTACATTTAGCCTTGAAGGTAAGGTACCAATGGAGTTTTTATTTTATTCCTAGTGATGCTATAGTAAAGCTTTGTTGAGCTGTCCCCTTACTGTTGTATCTAATCTGCGTTGTGCACAAAGCGTCTCTTCTTATTAAAGATCACCGACTTGTCAGACACTTGCTAATTAAATGAAGATTGTCACCAGCGTGATCCTACACATATTGATGAAGGTAAAGCAAGGACATTAATCCTTCCTATGAAGACTTTATCTGTTAGCGTTATATCTTTTCCCCTCTGTCAGCACAGCAGTGTGATGCTTGACTGGGTCCTTCTAAAGCCTTTCAATTGTGCTGCTGGTCTAAACTGCTGACACAGCAAACTGCAGAATGAGAAAAGGTCCCACATCTCTAGGTGGTGCGTCTTTTTCATGTGAGGTTAAGACCCATAATTCTACTTTGCTCTTATCTGATTGGGAAAATGCCCATTGCCCTCATATGCACTATTTGCATTCATAATTTCAGTTAAATAATAAAATCCCTAAATTCTTTTTTGGCAATTATTCATTACAGCTGGGGTCTCTATATTCAAAATGCACTGATAAAGCCTCTTCATCCTTTGCTACTTCAACAGCCTAATAAAATAGGCTTAGAATAATCCTCAGCTTATTGGTTATACAAAACTGACTTCATTGAGAAATGAAATTCATTTTACCACATCATTGTCTTTTGTAACATTTGTAGCTTGTAGACCTAGCCACTGTCCTATATCTTACTGTATACAGGCAGAAGGATATTCTATACCTTTTCACTATGCAAAGGAAATTGTTGGCCTTGAATTTCTAAAAAACAATCTTCTTTCCTTCTCTGTTCCTTAGTGAGACAACGCCAGGAAGACAACTCTAGCTTTAATGTGCTACCACTGACCCAGTTTCTCAAGTAAATGAATTGCAAAGTGAGAATGCCTACAGTCAGACTTTTTAGCAAGCTCGCTCAAACACAGCCGTCTTTAACCAGGGACTTCCATGGGGAGGTACATGGTTACTGTAGGCCTGTGGCACGGCAATAGAGGGAAACACTGATGAAACTCTACTGAGCCTGTTGCAGTACACACTTTACAAAATAACACCCAGACACGTACATATATTAAACAACTGCACAATCTCAAAAAATGAAAGAAGTTACTCAACACCAGAAACAATGAAATCACCACATGTGTATGAATTATGACTAGAATCCTTGTTTTCTGGATTTATACATTACTAAAGCACAAATTAAATTAGGCAAAAACAGAAAAGTGATACATGAGCTTCCTTTCAGACTTGGAAGTTAATTTGTAGGGACCACATGAGTATTAAAACATAAAAGCATGCTGTCTCCTACAGGAACATCTGTGTTTTTAAAGTTATAGGTAACTAATAATCCCTACTTTAAGAAGACGCACTATAAAAAGTCACAACAACACACTAACTGCCATTTTTAGATTATTCAAATTCCTTATCCAATTTAAATCAGGAACATTTCATCTACAACACAATAAATACAATATGGTTTTAACCTGGTTCCTATATATTTAGACTATTTTTATATGAGGCAAGGACATGCATTTATTGACAGAATAGCCTGCATTAAACTAAAGCAGTCTAAAAACTAGCATTCCAACAAATTATCCTATTTCACGTGGTGTAATGTTCTGCCATTCACTGAATATTTGTATATTCAAAATCTACATAACAGTAAATTGTTGATGCATTTGGAAATGTATCACCTCAGTATCATCAATGCATCTTGTGCCAACCATAGACTTAACATAAATTGTTTTCTTTGTTTACAAACGATTATTTTAAAAAAATCAAAACGAATGTCACTTCCGGTTATCGTCTTTGACACTCAGGTAAACACATTATACTCCTAACTGTTTAACAGCCGGATTATCGTTTCCAACAAGGATCCATGAAGAACAATGACGGTTATATGAACGCAAAAAATTGGTAAGTCTTGGCTTTTGAGAAAATCGTTATCCCTGTCCCTGTGACTGATGTAGGCCTAGTTGACTAGTAAGTTCATTAGAACCATGCTAAGCTAGCGTTAGCATTAGCAGAGAGTAGCAGACAGTGGTAGCATGCGTCACACCTGGACATTGACGCTGCATCCTGGTAAAATAAAAATATAGCCTAATGTATAATGTTTGTGTCTTTCTCATTAACGATGCTATGCAGCCACCTGTGCCCTGTACTACGAAGCCAGTTCAACAGACCCTGGATATGTTTGAGTTATCTTAACTAACCCTAACAAACGAGAAAGCGGTCCAACGACGCTGGTTATCAACTCGGTAAATCAAGCCAGGGTTTCTCTCTCCAGCTGAGAGCGCGTTCACGTGAAAGGGGCGGGGTTAGCTACATTTGACCAATCACAAACAGGGACAAGTGTAGCCTACTGACAGCGCAGCGTCATACTTCATTAATGAAAAGTAAACTAATATTAAACCAATGGGTCAATATCACTATAAAGTAACTTTGGTGTCCCCATCAGAATCACGAAAGTTATCATGAAAATGTAGCAGAATAATGAAACTCTGAGGTCTTATTATAAATGGCCAAACATTGACACACATATCAGTACAATGATAAGTCTCTTGAAATGTGTTTCCTTCCTTTTATACCGTATTTTTTAATTGGATGTACGTGATTTTGGCATGTCCCACGCACTGCTCTGCTAACTACAGTGTGTGTAATACATGGTTAAATGATACTAAATAAAAAAAATAAAAATATGGTTTTATTGTCCACAACGAGTTATTTGATAAAACAAGTCATTTTGATCATGTATATTCTATTTTCATAATAATATTGAACATTTTGCATGTGTCCTTGACATTTCCTGTCCACCCTGTCATTATGGGGAAACTGCCCCATAGAAAAACATCTGATGTTCTCATTCATAACACTCCGTTCGATGTCTCACTATGGGATGCGCCTCATCGCGGAGCAAACAGAAGCATCAATCTCATTACGCCAATCCTGATTGGCTGGAGATCTTGACGTCAGCGTCAGGGAAATCACCCCCTATAAGTAGCTTGCGCCACAACGCATGCGCCATTCAAACACCTCTTCTCGCTTCAGAGCACATCTCTATAGTAGCCGGACAAGCTTAACGGTCCACAGACTGAACCCAAATATAACCATTTCGGTCGACGGGCGCTCGCCGGCTACTCCTTCTGCTTCGCAAGAAGACGGTAATACTAACGCCAGTTATTAAAATCGACCTCGCCGTTCTTTCCCCGGAAAGTAAGGTAAGGTTTTGATTTTTCTCAAGCTAGCTACGCACCCGTTGCTAGCTAGCTTCCCCTTACTACCGACACCACGGTAGCGAGGACGCTTTTCTTTTTCTCTCTCACGGAGGAGAAAAGGATTAGAAGTATATTGACACACCAGTCAATATTCTTTGAGAACAAAGGACCCACACCGTCCCCTTTTTCTCCGGATTAAGGACGGGTTGGTAACACTTTTTCTCTCAACGACGTACCTGTTACGAGCGGGTCCTCTCCACGCCACGAGGCGAACAAGATGGACGCCTCTCCCCCTCACACCAGAGGAGTCAGGGACTCGAAGGCTCGGTCATGCGGCTGCGGGTTGAAGATAGCAGGCACAAACTCACACCAGGTCTGCTCGGGCTGAAACACGCCCAGGAGGCTAACGACAACCCCGGGTCGTGCGGGCATTGCGCCCTTTTCATCCGAAAGAGCCTCCACCGACGGCTAGCACAACAAGCTAGCTTGTTGGAACAGGACTCCCTCATGTCCACTGATTCGCCGTTTGGCAATCAAGACACGGGGGCGTCTGCTGCAGAGACTGAGCCCCTCACTATGTCGGTCTGGGGCTCACTAACAGCGGCAGCTGCGGAACCGGGATCCCACGCCGTGTCGGGCCGGGACCCGGTGGCGGCAAGAGACGCGGGAACGGAGCCCCACGCTTCACCAGGCGGGAGCTCCCGGCGAGACCTCACCATGGTCTCACCCGCGGGGAATGTCCTGGAATTAGACTACATGGGGGACAAAGAGGACGCCTCTGAGTCCCTCCTGTCTGATTCGGATGAGCAAGAAGAATATATCTTCATGTCATCGGCTCAAACGGCAAAGCCGGGAGCGATGGCTGCTCTCCCGGGCGATAGCACACCAGCTTCGCCCTGTCTGAGCAGTGACCTGCAGGCCGCGTGTCAGCGCACTGCGTCCAGGCTAGACATCCCGTGGCCCGAAAGGGCCAAGGAGACCGCCAGGTCCCGTTACGAGGGGAAACATTCTCCCCAAGCAACGAGGACAAGGAGGCAACTCCTCCCGGTCTTCCCGGAGATGTTGGATGAGGTGTCGGTCTCGTGGAGGGACCGACCCTTTACCAACAAGGCCCCAATCCAGGGTGCCTCCTCCCTAGACTGCGACGGTATGGAGAGGCTCGGCCTGCTCCGCATACCGCCGATGGAACTGCTGGTGGCAACCCACCTCCTACCGAGGATGGGCCCGTCACCAGGCAGGAACCCAACGCTGCCAGCGAAGGTGGATCGTTTCCAGTCAACCATGACGGAACGGTCCTACAGAGCAGCAGCGTTGTCCGCCAGGGCTCTGAACGTTTCCTCACTGCTAACCGCATACCAAGCGGAGCTCTGTGAGGATATGTCGAGTAATCCTGGACCGGCCGTTCTGGACGAGTTGGCCGCGGTCACAGACATTTGTCTCCGTGTCCAACGCTGCGCCGTCCAGGCCACGGGCAAAACAATGGGGATCATGGTGGTGCAGGAAAGAGCTAGATGGCTCAACCTCACCAATCTCCCAGACCGGGAAAAGGAGGATGTGCTTGACATGCCCATCGTTCCCGAGGGGATTTTCGGCTCCGCTCTTGCCTCCATGCAAAGCAGATGCGAGTCGAAAAAGAAGGAGGACGAGGCCCTCCACCTCTGCCTCCCTCGAAGGGCCCAGCCGCTGCCTTCGCAGCGGCAGCCCTTCGTCCAAGCTGCGAACCCTGCTCGGTTAAAAATACCGAAAGCGCAGAGGTCGCAGTCCGCCCCGAGTCCCCAGCCCAGGCAGGGGACGAGGGCGAGCTGGCCTAGAAAATCTCCGGTTCCGGCTGCAGCCCAGGCTCAGCCAACCCAGAATTTCGGCCAGCAGTCGAGGAAGAAGAAGCAAGCGGCGCGACAGCCCCTCCTTCTCCCCTCTGTGACAGAGCTGGAAGTCTACGGTTCCCCAGCTCTAAATGTGTTCCCGCCGCCTCGAGAGATGCCTCAACACCATCCTCAAGTCCGCATAAACACATGTCACACACTTATTGATTTTTCTGTCACAAATCATTTTTCGCTGTCGCATCCAGGCTTCGAGCCAAGGGCGCAGCTCGGAAAAATGAAAAGAAAAACAATAAACAGCCCGTCAACTGTTCCCCTTCTGAGAGCAGCTACGGCATCTCTCAAAAGGCGGATTACAGGCGGGTCTGTGAAGGCACCACCGTCACGCGCATGCGCAGTGCCGGCTGGGGTTTTTAAAAGCACCACCGCCACGCGCATACGCAGTGCCGGCTGGGGTTGTTAAGGCACCACCGTCATGCGCATGCGCAGTGTCGGTGGGGATTGTCGAAAGGGGGCACCACTGTGTTCAGACACTAGAGGGCCCCATAACACAACAAATAGAGACTCAGAGGGGAAGAGATGTGACATCTCCACTGGCTCTAAGGAGCATGCAGTGGAAGATGCTCACATCATCTGCTTGGGTTTTCAAGACAGTAACACGGGGCTACAGACTCCAATTCGCTGTCACCCCCCCTCGCTTCTCGGGCATTCTGCATTCGCAGGCCCGAGGAGAGTCAGCCCATATTCTGGAGAAAGAGATTCTCTCTCTCCTAGAAAAGAGGGCTATATCTATTGTACCCGCCGAGCAGAGTCAGGGCGGCTTCTATTCTAAGTACTTCCTCGTTCCCAAACGGGGAGGGAACGGAATTCGGCCAATACTTGATTTGAGGGCTCTGAACAAATATCTAAGAAGATATAAGTTCAGAATGCTCACTCACACATCTCTTCTGCGGCTCGTGCGACAAGACGACTGGTTCACATCAGTCGACCTGAAAGATGCGTATTTTCACATCCCAGTATATTACCCACACAGGAAATATCTGAGATTCGCATTTCAGGGGATCTGTTATGAATACAGAGTACTCCCCTTCGGTCTGTCTCTCAGTCCAAGGGTGTTTGTACGATGTACGGAAGCCGCGATATCCCTGTTAAGACAACAGGGTATTCGCCTGGCGACCTACCTGGACGACTGGCTGCTTCTCGCACAGTCGGAGCAGGAGGCTGTTACGCAGACGAATGTCCTCGTAAAGCACCTGCTCAACCTGGGTTTCATAATAAACACAGAGAAGAGCATGTTGTGCCCCGCGCAGACTATACTCTTCCTGGGTTTACACCTGAACTCGGTGCCCTTTTCAGCTCGCTTGTCAGCGGATAGAGTGAAAGCTTTCAGAGCTTGTCTCGCTCTTTTCCAGCTGCGCAAACATGTTCTCTTCAGATCATGCCTGCGATTGCTGGGGCTCATGGCGTCAGCCATCCTGGTCGTACGACTGGGACGCTTACACATGAGGGAGTTTCAGCGCTGGGTGGCCGCCCTAAAACTAAACTCCGCGCGCCATGGCGCGCGGAGTGTGATGGTTACTGTGAAATGCGTAATGGCACTGCGCCACTGGCTGCACCCGACTTTTCTAGTACGAGGTGTGCCTATGGGTGCTGTCCTTTCACGGAAAGTGGTCACCACGGACGCATGTCTGACAGGTTGGGGAGGTATTTATGAAGGTCGCCCGGTGAGGGGTCTCTGGATAAATTACCTGGAGCTTTTAGCGGTGTTTCTCACCCTAAAACGCTTTCTGCCTTTCCTCAGGGGACATCACGTCCTCGTGAGGACAGATAATACGACCACAATATCGTATATTAACCGCCATGGGGGTTTGCGTTCTCTCCAGTTACACACACTGGCGCGCAAACTTATCCTATGGAGCGGTAGGCGTCTCCTCTCTCTGAGAGCGACGCACGTACCGGGAGTGAGGAACCTCGGGGCAGATCTACTGTCCAGAGGTATACCACTTTATGCAGACTGGACTCTACATCCAAGGATTGTGAGCCAGCTGTGGGTGCGTTACGGCAGAGCCGCGGTGGATCTGTTCGCATCGAAAGACAACGC